GAGAGAGAGAGAGATCATGCAAAGGCTTCCAAGTATGTTTTTTTTCCTGGTGGCTATATCAGGCAGTCGATTTTAACCAATAGTTTAACAATCAAAGAGCAAATTCTTTTCTTGTTTGTGTTAATAAGAAATTTTGAACTACTTATGATGTCTGAATATAAAAAAGAATAATTTACTCGATTATGTAGGTATTTGAATAAACTGATCTATCATTTCATTCTAGAATTTTTGTTAAGCTGATAGTACAGCACTTTCAATCATTCAAAATTTCTAAACAAAATTTCTAGAACCCTAAAAGGTTCCATGAATTCTAACTTTATGTTAATAGATCCTGCAAATTTAATCTTCCTAATTTCCACTCTTCATATTAGGGTTTGCTATACTAATGCATACCACCTGGTATGGGGGGTATGTATCGGTCCAACAGGATACTGGTATGCGGACCGCCCTCTGTCGAGTGATACGAGGTCTATACTAGGCGACAACGATCGAAATCCTACCATTACTGACCTGTACCAATTAGTAACGATCAAATTTTGATTGTTACCGATCAAGGGCTGACATTGCCCTATTTCAAATGGTCAATTTGACTATTTACGACTTAGAAAAGGGTTTTTAAAATCTTTTCTTCCCCTTCTTTCAACTCATTTCACTCTCTCAATCTCTTAAACTCTCTCAGACTCCTTTTCACTCACATCCCTATCTTATTCTCACATTTTCACTCTTCTAAACTCAACAAAGGTACGATTTGTGGATCAGATCAAATTTAGTAGACTAATTTAGGATGATTAAAAGGCCAATACATGCCACATTCGTCCTTGCTTTCGGAGCTGCCTTAGACACATGTGGTTCACGACGATCAAATAATGACCATCACCATATTGATGCACCAATGACATTAGTATAATATGTCATGGGATCAATTTCAAGATTGAGTCCGACAAACATATCATACTGATAAATAGATACATAGGATCGAGGATCCCGATCCACCGCCTATGCAGTCTCGTCATTCTTTTTGATGGTACAATCATGTATACCAATCGATTGATTACTTAATTCATTTTAAATTTAAAATTTAAGTTGTATAAAAAAATAATCTAATAATTTAAATAATTTTTTTTTAGATAATTCAATATTAATGGAAGGACGGATTGAAACGTATCACAAAGCTACTCCTCAAAGCCTGAAAAAGATATATGATATTATTTTTCCTAATTTACATTATTTTTACTAAAATTATATTAAATTTATATTCATTTATAACTTAAGAACCCCCAATCTAATTTGTTTTTTATTTTCATATATTTTTAGATATTTTTTTTAATGATTTTGAACGTATTGTCAGTACAGTTCAGTACATACCATACCAAGCAGGACTCGATATAGACCAAAATTACAATTCTTGCTTCATTTAATGATAGGACAACATTTGAAACAAAAAAATTTGGGTTAGTATTGCTACAAGAAAGGGCCAATTCAAACATTGACTAGTTTAGTCAATTAACTTTAATAATTAATCATATTTTAAGCAACTAAATTTGCAAAGGAACTCTCTTTTTTTGTTTATTTTCAAAGTCATGCAACTTGGAAATAACCTCGGAATCCCAAAGATTGGCAAGAAAAAATTTGCAGAATAAGAAGCTTCATTTTCTATTTCCTTTGAAGCTCATGCAACTAAGAAAAAGTCTCTGATATCCCTAAACAACAAGAGCCAAATAAAGATAGAAAGCCAAGAAAGGAAGACAAAAGCTTATCATCGTTAAGATAGAGAAGGTACACAGGTGGGCAAAATGAGTAGAGAAAAAGAGAAAAACATATGGACTTGATATATAAAAAGGCACAAATATGTATTTAAGCCACTCCCTTCTTTCCTTGTCTTTTGCATCAAAGAGATGTAGTAAAAAAATAATATTTGAATCACTACAAATTTTTGAGCTAACGATCCTCGTATTAAGTTTCTATTGTCTACATAGAAGAATTATCTTAGATTGAATGGGCACAATAAAGAATTTGTAAATTAAGCTTAAAACAAATAAATTTGTCTAGGAATCTGTTCATCTCATATGATTTTTCTCAGGTTCATCAACATTCAGGAAGAGCAGATGTCTAACAATTTAACAATCAACATGCCAAGAAGAATGACAATACTAGCACAACTTACGTTCACCAGTAGGAGATACATGCCATGTCTCCCCTTGTCGTGAACCTATTCCAGCGAAAAACTTTTCTTCCCATTTATCCCCCCATCTGGTACCTAACTCAGTCTCTGCCCATTTATCGGTCCTATCAAACATGCAAATAAGTTATGTTGCATTTAAGAGCAGAAGAATACTTCAAAAGTTTATCATCCAAAACAAGTTTGAGTATCTAAGTTGCCCTTTGAAAAAATTAGATCTAGAATCTACTTGCAATTACAGAGTACATGGCAAAGATTTAATGAATTTGGAAGGAAAGATATGCTTACAAAGTTATCGAATAAGATTTATGGTTGTTTTTTGTAGATGAAGTACATCAGTGGTTTCCACAAGAAATTAAAAAGGAGAATGTAAAGGATCATGGAAAAAATCAAACCATTTAAGTACAAATCCTCTTCCATCATAGTGTTCACCCCACTTCTCCCACCAGGATTGTTCATTTAGCCTTCCATATTTATGAGCTCCCTTCTCTGTCCAACCTTTTGCATCATACTTTTCCAGCCTGGGAACAAAGTAATGTCCAGTCAGATTCACTACTTCAGATAACAGAAAAAAAAATAAAGTAAACAAAAAAAAAAAAACAAAGTATGTGACAAATACTGATTCATTTCTCACCATTTCTCATACCACCCAGCATTTTCTGTGCCTGATTTTGCTTGTTTCTGTGCGCTCCTCTCAATCCTTGCAAGATTACTACAGATGCGAATGAGTCCATCATTACTGCTTTATACAGTTATCATATATTAAATTGTAATCTTTGCAGAGAAATTTAAATATATACATTTTACAAGAAAAAACAAAGAACAGACTCTTGGCAACCATAATTTTTTTCTGAATTTGGGTGTATATACTATATACTTATATAGTAGCACTGGCAGAAATTAGCAGTCTCTCAGCTTGCATGAGTAATGATGTATGGGGGAACTGTGTGCACTGAGCTGCCTCTTTTAATGGTAGCATTGGCAGGATAAGTTTTGATGAAAAACGAAAAATAGTTGCTAAGCTTATAGTACATAATATATATGTAACTTTTTGATAATAGTTAAAAGAGAATTTATTGCAAACTCTGTGTTTGTATGGCATGCTCTCACTCTGCATTGCTGCAGAATATTTATCAGGTAATTGAACTGCCTGCAACTATAACTCCTCTGTTAGGATGATTGTTCTTAGATCCATTATCTAAATTTTAACATCTTTTGATATACTGTGTGCTAGGTACATAATGTGACAGAATTTTGTATTGTTGTCCAATTTGAGTGGGGGTGTACGTGCTGTTTGAAGACTCTGCAGAATTTTTAGTTTAGGAATAAGAGTTTGAGTGGCCACAATTCCTCCTACTAGCATTCCTTTGCCATTGTGGAATTGCACCTTCATATGATGTCACAATGCTTAGCAGGCATACATGTGCAGCAAAAGGGAATTCGTACAGAATCTGGTATCTACATGTTCCAAAAGTACTTGCTATGCAAATATGGTGCGTTGGAGTTTGGGCAAAAATAGCAATCATAAAAATTTTATCTAGTGGTTATGCTGAAGGTATTTCCTATAATATTATGCCACAAAAAATAAACAATTTCAAACTAAATCAATTTGATGACATATCAACTGAGTTCATAATTTTAGTGCTAACATCAGTGAATTTGAGATCATTTTACCTCCATTCATCTTGGTACAGTACTTCTTTCCATGTTTCCCACCATGAATCTCCATCAGCGTTTTTCCCAGATTTCTCTGCACCTTTAGAAAGTGATAACAAATTAGAACTTAGAAGAAACAACATTGCAATAATTACCCGATTAGGTGGTAAATCATACATTCATCTGATATAACATAATTTTAAATAACTAATAGCAACTTGTAAGAAGTGTATCTTAGATTCAGTCCATGACATCAATGATAATGTAGGCAATAATATAGAAGCAACATTTAGTTTAAGATGCAGAACAGATTAAACTTTTTTATAATAAACTGTTCATGACACTGTCATTCAACAATATGCAGGGACTGCATATACATGCAGAGGTATAATTTCAGGCACTGAAAATTTATAATTTAATAATATTAGTAAAATCCATATGTACTAAATAACTGATCTATTATGCATAGTGCTTTAATATTTCTTAGTATTTAGAAATCACCTTTTAACTAGAAATATACTCCTATAATAATGATCTGAAAACTGGACACTTCAAGACATTGTATTGGATAACTATCTCATACATGTGTATCAAGCATTTTTTTATAAACTACTTATGTTGTGTAGTTCTCAATTGATAAGGTTTTCTTATGCAAGCCAGATTGTGTCTATCTATGCATGATGACCTTGAGATGTCTTTTCTTTTGTATAAGTGTAATTCTTATAAACATAGTTTATACATCAAATTGTCACTTTACATGTACATGTACCATAAAAGTCCATTCCCACTGCAGTGACCCTATATGTTAACTACTAGAAATTTATTGAGTCAGAATTAAATGTGTAGTTATTACCAGAAAAGGATGTCTAGCCTGCAAAGATAGACGATGAAAGGTAACGAAAATGGAAAATACTACTAAAAATAATCATATAGTGGATGTTGTTCTGCTTTTTTCTTAACTTTAGAAAAGCTTTCATAACAAAGTGGCATATCCTGAATGTCATACAATTAAACATCACTGAACCAGACCATTAGCTAAGGAAGATCTATCATAAACATAGTGTAAGGCGTAAGGGTTATCAGATTGCTAGTGTCATAAAACATAATGCATAAAATGTAACTCTTGGAGGATTTGAACTTCAACCAGCACAAATCATTATCATTTCAAAGTAGCATACCTAGTTCTTTGTATCCGGTCCAATCACTCTTTTCCCACCACTGTCAAGTAAGCACAGAAAGTAAAACTGGTATTTATGTTGATTATTGAGTAATAAAGATGCTTCTAGCAAATGCTGTGAAGACATAATGAAACTAATATATAGTTTGCTAATCATAATAGTGCCTAATTTTGCTTTTAAATTGGAACTTGATTGTAAAAAGAAACATTTTGGTTCATCCAAGAATATATGTAAACATTTTAAAGAAAATAACAGAAGATTGAGAATATGACTCCAAGAAAATGTTACAAATGAATTTCTATTTACCATACAGATGAGGAAATGTGAATGTTGCAGAAATTGTAATTCACATGCACCTTTAGATGAATGGCACCAATATGATGGCTGAACTTGCATATGGCCTCCCCTTCATATGGTTACCCTTGTTCTAAATATCGTAAATTCCAATTGGTATCCGTCTGATCATCCTAGACCAAAAAGCAAAAGACCAAAATTTTGGAACAAATGCAAGTTGGATTAGAGCATCTATGCTACTATATAATGGGAGAGCCTGGGTGAGCCTGGGTCTTGCTACTCAGGTTATCTCCACTCCAAGTTTTCTTTATTTCTTTCTTCTGATCTCTGTAGCTTGCATTGGCAACATATTCCACGTTTTGATACCACATACACAGTACATAACAGAAAGAAAAGTTTGCAATAATGCTTGTAGGCCTTGCCAGAAAGTAATGGCATGTACAACACGGAAATAAGGAGTTAATGCAAACTTAGCTACTCGAATCTTCTACCTGGGCGATCTCCCCTACTCTGAATTTTCATTTTCACCAAAATTTATAGGCTATTAATTCATATTATTTATGGATTTATATTACATATAAGTAACAGCGGATAGAGTTTGATATTGTTTGATCGTTTATCTGTACAAATGATGCTATTCTAGATTCTTAAATTACCAAAATTTTCTCCACCATTTTTATAATTGTGAAGCTATTCCAAAAAGGATATAAATAGTGAATAACATGATTCAGTGAAAGAAAGAGTAAAAAAGCCAGGAAGAAGATGTGGTGATAGCCGATAGGTATAGAAGGGGGTTGTAGGACGACTATGATGGCAAGTGGGAGGTGCAATATCATTGTCATGGATGGATGGAAATAATATATTAAGACAGTTAGTGAATTAATGATATTTTGTATGACTTGGCCTAATGGAATAAGTAATCCACTAAGTTCAGAATGTTGCACACGTATGATGTCCCCATTATGGGCCAAAATTTCTTAGATTCAAACCTCAACATGGGCCTCTATACTGTGATATCCACTTGACCTCATCCATGAATAGTTCTTTCCAACTCAAACTGGCTTCGTTCAATGAGATAAACCCACTGACTTGATAGGCTTATAATAATATAACCCAAAATGTTTGGACTAAAGTTAATCATGGTAAACCCACCAAGCCCTTAGCCAATTCAAGTTTTTACCCACCTTCAATGTGGGACTAAATTTTGTAGTGTTACAGGTTCAGATAGAAACTCTCAGGGTGATAGTGACAAACTTGTTGGAAGAGGACTGTCAGATGAGGGTGGGTTGAGTGCTGCTGGATGGTGGTACTCTTGAGAGAAATGACAAATTATCCAATTGTGAAATGCATCAACTCCACGAGCATGTGTCTTAGGGAGTAAATTAAAAAGCTGTTGCATGGGTATTCGTGTCAAGTTAGAGCTATGTTCTCAAGGCTTCATGCAGCCAACCAGAGCACTAGGTGTTAAATTCAAGGATTGTCATTCTGTGGCATGGATTTAAGCTGATACCTATTTGGCATGATACAGTTTTGTGTTGTGCCAGTTGTCTTGCTCGTGTTAAGGCCACGAATTGGTCTAGCCACGCATCAGAATTTCAACTGCACCTGATTTTCCCAGTACGATAAGAATTGATGTCAATATGTACTGATAGGCACAATAATCCTAGGTTAACATAAAAATCAAATTAGGTTAGTTACTTGAGGTTGTAATGCAAAAAGGAGACGAGGGAATATTCATGAGAAGAACACATTTTAGTGATTGTCCCACCCATGTAAAACTATGAAGAGCAATATTCTTTCAAGAAGGTTCACGAACAAAAGAATTCCCATTAGATAAATTGATATTTGTAATTCATAAAAAGAAAGTTTAAATTTTAAACAATGTCAAACTTGTTGCCATAAAGGATACATAATTGTAAATGTGAGGGTCAGGTCATATCAGCATTGATAGACCAGGTGATAAAGCATATGACATCATAAGACATTAATCAACAGCAACCCTTGCAGTTCCTAATGCAACCAACCATTGACTATGAAATTGAAGGATAAAGAGACAGCTAACAGTGTGGATCTGGCAATAGATATTTTCATGAACAGATGGCAGATGGATATGCATAAAGACAGGATAGGTCAAACAAGTGACCAATGTGGTAAACTCAGAATTGACATTCGTTTGGTATAACTATATATGACACAGACTTTTTTGTGAAAGAGATTGCTCAGAAAAACAAACACTAATTTAACCATTCATTAGTTTCAATTTATTAAATTCAATTAGTAGTACATAACTTTATTTATAATGCATTCAAGAGAACTTACAGTTTCTTTCCATTCTGAAGAGCCATCATGAGATTTACCACCCATTCTAGCCCAACGACATCTGTATCCATTATCGCCGAGTTCTTCTCCATCTTCCCGGTACCATGTACTTCCATCTTCATTTGTGCCAAACTCATTGACCATTTCATCCAGTAAGTTGATGCCCCATTCTTTCTCACTTGCAATACCAGTGTCTAAAAGGAGACATCAAAGAAGCAAATGTTTTCCTTGAATACTCCAAATGACAAAAGTAAATTCATAAAGTGTACTAATAGTGCATGAGCTTCTTTGTGAAAACACATGATACAAACCAAAAAGACATGCTTGTTGCTGGCTTATTGATAATTTGTGCTTGATGGAAAGCACTCCCTACTCGGAAGCATACCAATATCTTGGAGCCATTTTAACAAAATTATACAATTCATAACCACTAAACTCGTTGGCACTGGAACACACCTCTCTTGGGGGGAGTATCACGAGACTCGGGAGCAGAACTTTTGGGACTGCAGCGAGAGGAGAAATCTTGCTGCTTGGAGAGCCTTTTGGAGCTGTCATAAGAGCTTTAACTTTGTCAAAAAACAATAAAATTAAACATTACAACTTTAATTAACAACTGTCAAATTCCAAACTGGATAAATAAGGATTTTGTTAACTATAGAAAGTTAGAGAATAACATGGTGATTCATTAACTCTTTTTATGCTGAAATTCAAGATTGGTGGTAGATTACAGAACAGAAAGTTCAATTAAAAGAAACACATCAAATGATGGGGAGGTTGGTCTTTTAGGCATCGCAACAATTAGATCCAGAAGTAAAAATGTACAAACTAACGTAAGATCTCCAACACAAGCATGAAATTGATATGTATGGGGACCGAAAAATCATACTTGGCTTGTAAAATGATTTAAGACTTGATAAATTATATGAATCTAATGTGTAAAAGAGAGGAAGCTTCATAGCTTGTGGATAAGCTTTGACGATATCTAATCCGAATGCTAGATGGAACTCAAGGATTCATTTAACCACAAACCTTGACCGTGCTGTAATAAATTTACAATTAGAGAGGCACGCGACACATTCATGTCTAGCACACAAGATTAGTACATGGAGGTCCTCAAGGAACGTGTATGAAGTATCCATAAGTGGAACTATGAGGCTAATGTGCCTTTGATAAACTATTAACAACCTCAATAAAAGTATTACACAACTAAATGCAAGACCACTCATTAATTGCATATCCCCAGGATGAGAAGGATAAGCAACACTATGTGCTGATAACAATCTCCAGGAAAAAGAGATATATGCACCCGAGCCAGAGAATTAACACTAAATAATATGTGCAATTGAGGACAACTCATTCTTAATGAATTAAATGGAGACTTGGTAGAACAATAAAAAAGGCAGCACTGTGGCTGACAGAAATGCGTTTTGGACCAACATTGACCAACTAGAATTCAGCAGCAGAAGCAGGGCAATGCACCTTAAGTTAAGGGTTCCTAAGGCAAAGAATGGACCGACGGCAGCAGCACATCACGAAAAGACTTGTCCAAGCATTTCACAAGAAGCGTACCGTGTGGAAGGGAAGGGGAGAGACGGCAAGGCCTCCGCCCGAGCTCTACGCGTGCCGACCTTCTTCTTGGGCTCGAGCCAGCAGTCCTCCGCCTTCTCCGCCGGGCAGCAGCACCTGACCACTCTCCCTACCCCTCCTCGGCCGGCGCCGGCTCGCGCACAGGAGGGCATCCAGAGCAGCGGCGGGAGGCGGATCCTCCCAAAGCCGAGATCGAAGGGGGCCGCGGCGAGCCCCCCCGATCTCGCGGCCATTTCCCAACCAAGATTAAGACCCAAGAGATCGAAATGGGGTCGGTATCAGATAGATTAGAGATATAGAGAGGCCAAGGAGTCTTCTTAAAGAGATACCAGGAGGAAGAGGATGTCTTCGAAACAGCCTCCTTTAGAGAGGGATGCTCCGTTACAAGAGGCTCGCTGTTTGTTTCTTCCCGGGTTAGTGGCCGTAAGAGATGGGACGACCGCGGCGGGGCCTCGGCTCTCTGACGAGGCCTCAACCACTCACGTGAGCTGCGCCGGCGGGACCCACTCCGTGGGCTCCGGTTTGTTGCGTCTTCCTCCTTCCCCCTCTGCTCGCAGAGCATTCAAAAGGAGAAGAAAGAGGGATCGGATGCCGGTCATTGAGCTACGTGGAGGCCTGCAAATGGAATTGCAAGCGTTTGGGGCCGGGAGGTGATGAGATCGAAACCGCGGAAGGATGGGGGAGGGGGCCGAGCGTTGGACTTGCTTTAGACGCCGCCGACAGACCCCGGTGTGGGTACGCCCGCATGGGTTGGGGAACAAAGCGCATGCTTCCCGGCAACGGTCTCTACCTTCGGTTTCGCTATTAGTTACGTCTGCCATTTCAATTTGGACTGTCGCTCCCACCAACGCAGTGAGGACTCTCACAACTCTCGCCACGTGGGACATCCAGTGGGGTCCCGTAGATGCCTCCCCTTCTGTGTGACGAGGGATAAAAAGCGGGTGGGATCACGTGGTTGAATATTGGTCGTTTCTGCGACCATCATCTCCGGCTTCGTCACGCTTCGAATGATCGATGGCTTCTGTCGAGGAGTTCCGCTGCATTACATATACTCGACCGCTGATCAAATAAAAGAATTAGTACGTACATATGTTTGTAAATGTCCATTCAAAGTCGCGTTCATGTGAATCAAAGAAAAAAATGGTTCGATAACAAGAAAGAAGTTTGACATTCCATGATGCTGACCAGTCCAAAATTTTCTCAAAACTTGTGGTGTCAGTACTGATGCAGGTGGTCGTCTTCGCATGGCGTCAATCTATCAGAGCGAGTCATCCGCTGCCCGACATTTGCGGTGTGAGGAGCTTGCTCGCTTCCGTTCGGTACTTTCATGATCTCATGATGTTGATTGACATGCAAGGTCCTCTTCGCACTGGAAGTAGATGTGGCCATGGATAACAAAGGTGATCCAGCCAACCATCAAATAATATAAAGCTCGGCGATCAATTCTGAAATGGAAGTTGACGTGATGACCTAAACTTACAGTTTTGTGACTGGCCTTTACAAATGTCAATGACGATGATACTTTTATGACGTCCAATGCATGCATGCATCTCACGTATATCGGGGCTGCAGTTCGTGTTTGACACCCAGTTTGCAGTAGGAGTACTCGAGCATTATCACTATGCAATCCTTGGCTTAATTAAGAATGGGTGGAAATAGCTCTTCAAATATGCATCCCAGAAGAGCAAAATAGCACCTGGGGCTTGTTAGCTCATATTACAAGGTGGAAAGAATTGCTTAGATTGATTGCAGTCATCCATGATTTTTCTTTCCATTTTCCATAAAGCACAATCTTTATGTTCTAAACTGTCTATTTTCAGTAAAAAAGACACGGATAGATTGATTTAGGCATTTGTATTCTATTGTAAATCTGAATACAAACAAATCACTTTTGTGAGTCTGCTACATATTTAAAGCCCGCAAATCTATAGTGCAGCTCCGTCTCTCTCGTCTCCTCAAGTAATTAATACTCAGAGAAGTTGAGATCCAACGCTTCGCGGCCTAACGTTCTCTGTTGGAATGTGTCCAAGGAGAGAGAAATTCTACTGATGCCGACCACGTAATCAAGATTACACAGAGCTGAAGATGGACACGAGAGAAGACCAGGTGGAGAAGATGGCCAGCACCAATCCGGCGATGACGATGGCGATGTCTGCGATAGTGCTGGCCCAGCCGAGCTCCTCTCGGAACACCTTGAGGTGGAACCACGCCGGCAGCACGAACCCGAGCACGACGCACACGCTGCTCCCAACCAGCGACAGGAAGTCGCCGAAGTTGGGCACCACCGTGGCCACCAGGCTCACCGCTACCACCGCGGCCCACCGCAGCCACCAGCAGTAACTCTTCCCGTGCAGCCAGCGCTCGGCCACCTCGAACACCGGGTTCATCATGACCGGGAAGGTGAAGAAGAGGTTGATGCAGAGGCCCAGCTGGATGAGCACGCTGAGAACGCCGTCGCCGAGGTTGGTGGTGATGATGTCCCGGGTCTCCTCGCCGAAGGCCGCGTAGCCGAGAACGCCAAAGAGGCCGTAGGTGAAAGCGATGAGAGCCATGGAGAAGCCGAGGGTGTTCCCGAAGTTTGCCTTGTCTCCGGCCTCGGCCTCCAGGGGGATGACCATGCCGACGCCCTCGAAGGCGTAGACGGCGACCCCGATGCCGTAGAGGAGAACGGAGGGCCCCGTGAAGGCGCGGACCGGTGGAGGGTTGGAGAGCAAGATGGAGGCGTCCTCGGCGATGACGACCCCCATAGCGCCGATGTCGACGATGTCGGCGAAGATGCTGAGCAAGGCGAGGTGTGTGAGGGTCGGAATCGAGTTGAGGCCGAGCTGGAATGGAAGCATGGCGAGCACGTAGAAGGCCGTGGAGGAGAGAGAGGGTAGGGATAACGGTACGAGGAAGGTGAGGGTGTTGGAGATGAAGATGAGGTAGCCGACGCAGAAGCCGCACTGGCTGAGCACGATCATGACGTCGACGGCTAGGCGTCCGACTGGGCCGGCGACGGCGAGGCCGAGATCGCCAAAGGAAGCGATAATGTCGAACGTGTCGAGCTCGACGCGGCGGCAGGTGTGGATGAGAAGGATCATGCAGTGGAAGGTAAAGGCTGCGACGGCGAGGAGGAGAAGGGCGCCGGCGGCCCACCCGGTTTGCCGGAAGGCATAGGGGAGGCCCAGCACGCCGGCACCGACGATCGCGATGAACACGTTCGCGAACGTCTTGGGCTGCGATGACATCTGCCGTTCCCCGTAGCCGCTTCCAGCCACCGACGGGAGCAGCGGCACCGTGGCGTCCCTGCCGTAGCTGGGGGAGTCTTCGTCGATGCCATACGACATGTTATCGATCGATCAAATGAATTAACCCTTTTATTCTTCTTCTATATACGAGAGTAGTGCAAACTGGGAGATAGATCGAGACAGAGCGAAGAAGAAATCTAGGAGACCAGGTTGCGTGATGGAATCGAGAAGGGAAGAAGACGATGAGGGGGAGTTGACGAACGACTTGTATATAACGAGTCAGAAATAGACCCCAAAAACATGGATGGGTCCCGCGTAATTTGGAAGGCGCTCGCTCTCACAAACGTCGCCTCTTTTGGGAAGTGAGACGTACGTGTTAGTGTTACCGGTCGGAGGAGCAGCGTGTTCGATACCGACGCGCGCAAACTACCGAGTCAACCTCATCAGCATCAAAAATCACGGAGAAAGATAGACGGTACGGACGGTTGTGATTTTCTGAATTTCTTTCATTGATTTTAGTCTTTAATAATAACCACTCAAAGCATCATCTATGATGATAATAGATGTAATGGTCCTCTAATGTTTAACCAACACTGAGGGAGAAATAACAACACTAATGTTTAACTACTGCTCAGGGAGAAATAACGAGAAAGAAAACAGGCAAGTATAATGGTCCTCTAATGTTTAACCATCACTACTATGTTTATATTAGCCTGTTAGGTAGTTCTCATTGATGAACAATGATTGCCAGAAAACTAGAATGAAAATATATGATTAATGTGACTTGCTGTAACATGCTGCATGATCTCCAATGCAGCATCAACAAGTGTCAAGAAAGGTGTCTAGCACAAGCTCATTGAATCCTATTTCATCAAATGCACACACAACTGGCTCAGAATCCCACATTATAGCAATTGATGCTCAACACTTCTTCAGATTCATTCTAGATAATTAAATCCACCCAAAGTTTCTCTCTGATTGATCTGGACACTGAACACAGTTACTTCTAACAATCCTTCAGACATTACATAGAATTTTTTAGCTTGGTAAATCCTTAGTATGTTTCTCAGTAAAATAGAAAGAAACCAAATGAAACAATAAGATGAATTCGTTGAACATGGACATCAGTATGCAGCATTGAATCCCTGTGCAAAAAAATCTCATATATATTGATTTTTGATGACATCTATTTTGCAGGATGCCATGAGAACAATTAGGGGCTCGAGAGAATATAGATCTTATTATGAATTCTTTAACCCATGAAAGTCCTCAGAACCGCCCTACCTAAATCCTTTCCTCCTGGTTTAAATTTAATTTAGAGCTTCCTTGTCACCACTCATGTTGTTCTACTGAATCCTGTGAAAACCCCTGAAAGTTCTCAACACTATGATGACAGAGTACATTGTGACGACTACAAGAATAAAATGGATGAATCTAAATGATTAGACAAAAGAGTTAATCGAGGATACAAGTGAAGCAAGTGTATTGCTTTCTACAGATAATTGTTAAACAAAATCTGATTTCTTCTTCGTATTAATATCTTGTTTCTTGAATATGTATATCCACAAATAAAAGTACAAAAATATTAAGCCATATTAATGAGATTTCGATATATCAGAAAGGGAATTGCTTACCGACATAAATCTTGCCAAATGTCCAGTCCTTGGGAGCAACATTGTAGGAGGTGAGAGTGACACCATCGCTGGCGGTGACCTCGAAAGATAATGCCTGACCCTTGAGGTCAGCACTGATGTGCCAATTTTGGCCCCAGTTACGGCCCATGGGCAGCCACCCAGTCGTCGACCCCTTTATCTTCACAGCTGTAATATCACCAGCACCTGCCACATTACTGATCAGCACTGTGTAGAAGAAGCCCTTGCCATCTATGGTAAACCGGACACCATCTTCCCTTATGCATTTGACCCTGAGTGTGCAGTTCCAAATTGTAAGATTTAATTATATGCATCAAATAAGCACACATAGTTCACGGCCAACAAAACTCCCTTATAAAAGCATCAGAGTGTGTGTGAGAAAACCAACAAATCAGATGGACATTAGTGACAACAATCAAGGCAGTTTCGTGCTCAAATATACAAGCGGGAGCCAAAACTGCTGCAAAGAGAGGACCGTGTTGATTTAAATGTCTTCCCAACTTCATAATTTTCTAAAAGACTAGTATTTGTTTGCTGTGTCAACCAGTGCTGTAATTTGTTAACCATATAGCTGAGCTGTTCATGATGCTGAACTACTCAGCTTCCAGAAGAAGACAAATGGTCATGTCTTCATTTTAGCCAACACAAAAAGATAAGTCAGCAGAGAAGATGAATGCAGTCTGAGAATAGCTTTAATTCCTCCTACAACATAATAATACATAACATATGGACTAAAGGGAGAAAAGCTACGATATAGTTGATCACTAGCGCAGCTCATAAAGAAAATTTGAAACTAGCCCTATAGTCAAAACAACTGATTGTATTCATGGAATATTTCCATTTATGCATATGAACGATTTAGTCTCTTCACACATCACGATAACTTTTAAATTTGATACACTAGGAATAATACAATTGTTTGCCAACACATTGTTGGAAACCAGCTAGATTCTTAAACCCCCTAAAAAAGTACCAGATCACATTTCTACAATGTCAAACACCGGCATCTGGAATAAGAAGAAGAAACTAAATTAGTGAGCTGCTACAGGAGAAACATACAGGATCCATTCTATGCTTGCTTGACAAAAGACCCTCGTCTTTGTTTTTTTGCTTCTAATCAACTAGGTGAATCTTAATCTCAGCAAGGATGGCTACATTTAATCTTCACACATATTTAGGTAGAAGCCAGTGGTAGGTGTAACTCCCTAAGATTAGGTCAGATCAGGAGTGACAGGTGTGGTTCATCAAAATTACATTGAATCAGGTTGGTGATTGGGTGTAGTTCTGCACTAAATTTGTCATAATGGACAGATGAACTAGGATCTTGCTGCCAAGTTTTTCCTGAATTTGACTTTTGTTCATGGTCAATGAGTTCTCATGGCTTCAAAACTCACAATAAAAATGTCACCTTTTTTTTGTATTTTCAAAACTTGATCGGTTAGCTATGAGATGACATAAACAGATCAGAGAAAGGTGGGTCATGAATCAGTGCCATGTATCCCCAAGTCTAGGTTAAAAAGAGAATTCACGATGTCTCCAAGCTTCAGAACTAATTAGCACTGAGTTCAATTCCACTTCATTCTGGAGAAGCCAATTCATTTTCAATTCAATCGAACATAATTTACACCAATCACAAATCAAATCAATTCTTTAAGAAAGAAATCAATGTAGATAGAGTGACAATGATGAAGCGAAGTAGGGGTGAATACGAAGGCGTAATTTCCTCACCTGCGGTACTTGATGGGCATGACGCCAGCCTTCCAGATGGCGATCTTCTCAAAGGCCTGGATGGGCATGAGGAAGTGGTGGTTGGGAGTGTTGCAGATCCCGCCGGCGTCCGCGGGGAGGCCGTAGTTGGGGGGGCAGAAGTTGGTGGCAGTGAGCACGATGGAGGTCCCCGGCAGGCAGTAGCGAAGCTCCTCCACGCACCGCACCTCGTAGCAGCCGCCGCAGGCCGCTCCCTTTTCGAACAGCGCCTCGCTCAGCCCTGCCGTCGCCATCCCGTACCCGCGCTTCCCCAAATCCCCGTACCCGCACGCCCCCCCTGCCAGCCACGCAACAAATGAGACTGATCCATAAAGACAGAAGAAGCGAAAAGGGGACGCGGGGAGACTGAGATCTGAGGCCCACCGACGGTATCGCGGGGGTCGAAGACGGCGTAGTAGGAGGCGTGGGCGGAGCGCCATTCCGTGAGCGCGGCGGCACCGTAGGACGACGAGCTCTGGTGAGCTGCGGCTAAGCTTGAGAGCAGGGTCAAGGGCAGTAATAGCAGCGCCAATCCGTGGGAGTGGAAGAGGAGAGAGAAGAGCTGGCCGAGGCTGAGGAGGCGGGACTTCGGCCGAAATGGCGGTAGTGACGGCGTCGGCATTGTGGAGGAAAGAAGTGGCTGTGCTGAGAGTGCGGTGGAGAAGCGGTGAGAGACAGCTGAGCGGAGCTAAGCCGCAGTGGGAATGGGGACTAAGGCGCAAGGAAGAGTCTAAGGGCTAAGCGGCATGTGAGGGGAAGCGCCGATGTAGCTTTTCTTTTAGCTTTGCGTGACAAGGCATTGATCCCTTCAGATTCGTGAAATCACATGTGCCATCTTGAGATCATCTCTGTTTTGGTAATTGATCCCAAGTGATTTAAGATTCGTGAAACGACAGGTGTCAACTTGAAGGTATTTGTGATCATCTTTATACGGCACAAAGGTTGAGAGAGAGAGAGAGAGAGAGAGAGAGGATGGGCTACGGCGAGATCACCGCCTCGAAGGCCCTGGCGCTCCATTTCCTCTGCGGCGTCGGTTTGGCCGCTGGCTATGGCATCGCCCGACTAGGCTGCGATCTCAGCCTCGTCGCCGACCCCGCCCGAACCCTCCGTCTTCTCCTCGTTCGTCACAATCACCCTTTTCTTTCTTTGTTGGTTTCACCGGTCGAAGCAAATGGGATGGTTTATGGCCCAATTCTTGATTTGGTTTCCTTTGCAGGTGGTAGAAGGACCGGTTATCATCGGAATTTATGGTTGGGTTCGTCGAGATCGCGAGCATTGCTCTGTAACCTCATTCACTAGTTCGTTCATTTATGATCCGTAATTGTCTGCGCATTTCCGCTTGATTTTGCCCTAAAGATGCGTTTTTTCTCTGTTTTTACTGGAGGGAACAGTATTCGAAGGCTGTTGCGAGGGGACTGCTCGGACTTCCCATTGGTGAGTTTTTATCGCCTCGAGAAGATTTTGTTGATTGATTTGTTTTGCTTTTCTTGAGTTTGATTCTTTATTATATAATGAATAAGATGGATGACTTTTCGACGATTAAGGTTTTTTTTTCTCCTTTCTCAAGCTCAAAGGTAATGGTCTATACTCAATCGTACTTGTTGGAAAAGGTTGTTTGAGGGTTTTGGCTTGACAAGTTTGATATGGAGCTTACTTGGAAGTTACATTGCTGATTGTGATCGGTATCCTGAATAAGATTGAACTGCAAGATTTATTAAGTTGTCTGAAACCTGAGTTTGGAAGTTTTAAATGTCTCCTTAGTTAGGAACCTATAGAATTACTTAGAAAAAGAAATCTTTATCCCCTGAACTTATCCCATAAAAGTCATAGTCTTGTTTGGACTTGGCTTCTGATGAAATCTTTAATAAAGGGTCTCTCATATTAGAGACAACTGAATCATATGGTTCTTTAAGTTGCCAAAATAGAGTCAGATTTGGCTCATGGCTTAGATCATTTTTCCTTTCTTTCATTCTCTTCTCCTTACTCTTTTTTTTTTTCCTGTTTATCAAATCTTTATTACCTTGCATCTTTTCGTTATTTTATCATTGCAATGGTTTTATTTTTTTCTGTTGTAGCCACAACCACAACACCCTTTGTCGATCCTACTGCAATGTTCTGGATTGCAGTTCTTTGATCTGATAGCTTCAAACCTAAAAAGTGTTTTTACAGATTTTCTCAGACTCCATTGGTAGATGCTAATTAGCAAACCAACCTTGAATAGTGATGACAATGTGTTTATTCAGTCTACTTATGCTCTGAAATTGGCTGGCTGCAAAAAGTGCTAATACTGTAGAATTATGGCAGTGAGTGTAAGAAGATTTCACATGCTAGAAACATTGAAAAATAAGGAGGTGCTAATCTCCTCTTCAAGCCTTTTTTATTATTCCTTGAAAGATTTTTTAAGTTCTTGCAAGCAAAATAAAAAAGAATGGCTTTAATTTTTCAGAAAACTTATGTTCAAGTCTTAGCAAGATACTCTATAGGACATGAGTAATTACACCAAAAGCTACTGTAAACTCATACTTACAGCGGATATAACCCAGAAGTTCAGCTTCAGGCTGATTTCCAGATTCAACCTCATCTTCAATTGGTCACTTTTGGACATGCTGTTGGACAGACTTCATTAATACATAAATCAACAAAATCAGTGTTGGTTCCTTAACATTTAATGCATTCATTACCTAGTACAAGTACTTCACTACTTATTGTTCTGTTTTTAAGTGACAAACTGACAATTCTTTTGATAAGAATATGTGGCAGTTACCCTTTAATCTCCCAAAAAAGTAGGGCCTGCAAACACTTAATTTTTCATTTTGATGAAGTGCCTTCGGAGGGCTTAGGAGCTTTCACAAAACTGAAATTGTGGGTTGTTTGCATGTTTTAATGGACAAAGAAATACCGTTGCCTCTTGAGGATAGCTTAGATCTTGAACTAAGATTATGCTATTAAACTTACTTGCTTTGCTATTCATTATTTAATCTATTGAAAACTTGAAAATATAAGATCGTACAAAGATTCTGGTAGTTTTGATTTTTCTTCCTCTTCTCGCCTTAAACTTGCAGATTTTAATCCCTCTTGTTCAATGCATATCATCTGGCTTATTATCATCAGGGGCTTTGCTAAATGCATTTGGGGCAATTGTTCTGGGAGCACCTGTTGGTCTTAAGTAAGTGCTCTGATCTGTGCTTCACCTATGCTGGGAAGATTTTTTTCTATTATAAATAAATTTAGATGGATCAGATAATAAAAAAATTCAAATTCTCTGAGCCTCACTTAATGGTTTGATTTTCTAAACACTGGATAGAATATTTAATGCGTATGAATAATATGATCAAGAGAGACTGAAGATTCCTTTTAAGACGATAAAGTTTTATTCTATGCAGGTACTGGCTAAGCACAATCTACTGGTCATCTCTTATGTCATTATTCACTGTAAGTAACTTATGATTAATACCTTTAGAGGAAGCTTGCAAGAACAAATAATCTTGTCAAGTCTTGAAGTGAACAAAATTATGGATGCCAGATCTTTAAAGTTTCTCTGACCTACTTTAGGCAAATTTGCCTTGGGTCGGTCATGATTAGGATAGGTTGCCTGCTAGAATACATTGAAGTATTGAACAGTATTATGCTTAAAGAGCATTCCATGAAGCATCTGTATATACTTCGAAATGTTTGTTACCATTCTGCTATGTCAGCACTAAAGCATTTTACTTCAAGGCCGAATTGAGTCAGAATGAATTTTATTCTGAAACCAATGCTAATAAATTTGGTTTTAAGCCGAATTGAGTTCACTTGTATAGTTAGCAGTCCATGTATTTGAAATGATAATTCTCTTGAATTTTTCTTGATGAGGTTCTTTCTAAGAAATAAAATGCATGTGAATGTTTCTAACCCCTGAAATATGGTGAACATGTTTTATGTCAGTTTGTGCCTGCGGTTTGTGTTTTTGGAACATCAAGGACGGATTGGCAACGGATTCTAGCTTATTCCAAGTAGGATTTCTGTTTATGGCATTTTTCTTTTAACTTAATTTGTTTCAAATTTCCAATTATCTTTTATTATGGATTGCATTCCTCCTTACAGGCCCAAGGAAGGAGTCGACTGTGTGATTTCTTTACCGGCTCAAGGTGCTGTCATCGGTGCATGGCTCGGTGCTTGGCCTATGCCACTTGACTGGGAGAGGCCATGGCAGGTAAAATTCATTATTCCCTATTCTTTTTTTTTCTTATTGAAGTAGTATATTGAAGTACAATGAACTCAATGTTTTTTTATATCACTTAGTAGTCCAACCACTTGGATGATATAATAAGGTAACATCCTTAAATTGCTTTCTTTTTGTTTATGTGAGGCTGTAATATAAATAAATGCTTTTTGCATGTAGGAATGGCCTATTTGTGTTACATATGGAGCAATTGCTGGTTACTCGGTGGGCATGTTTGCTTCTGCAGTGTTTGTGCCCGTACTAGGAAGAAAGGTTCATGTGAAGGATGACTAACTTGTGGATGTCAACAGGAAATTTTGTAATGGTAGAATTCTTCACTGGACTCTGGAAGTCAGGATGTGGATAATTTTAGTTCGTCGTGATTTGTGTTTTAATCGATGCTTAAGTCTAACTCATTTTTTCTCTTTAGTTATTTCATTGTTTGCCAAAAGGCACGTAGAAATTCTCACGTTGAATGATATTAGGCAATTCGCCATATACAGTGACGGAAGCGACAAAATAAACAGCAGGCATTTGGCTCCACTCGTCAGAGGTGACGACACTCCCGGACGATATCGGTGGTGGCTCAGCCCTCCGGCAGTAGTCGGAAACAGACGTTTGGCGATTTGGCCAACACAAGAATGAAGCTGATCACGAGTGACCTCTTACTAACCATCACCAACAGAAACATATGGATAAGGAGGAAAACTGTGATCGGTTTTATACCATCAACCTGAATCATGACCAACTTGATGGCAACAGGGTTTTCATACCCCTTTGAACATTTCAGATACATTCCACATGCCAGGCGCAATCTATCAACATAACATTAGTTTACATAGTCATCCAATGTAATTAAATTGATATTGTTCCTAGTGGTGGGGGGGGGGCAGGTATTCCATCTGTCCATCCTAACATTCAGGTAATAATCTTACATTGTGAGATCACAATCATCTTTTAGCCTGAAGCTACTTAACCCATCCGATCTTTTACAGGATTCACAGACATGGCAAACGAAGACCAGCATTATCAGCAGGGAAGATTCACAGAATCGACAACTGATCCCCCTATTTGCCATGAACAGTGTTTCACAAACCTGAAATATAAGATTTTGGACACGTTATCCTATAAGTGTTAAATGCTCCAATTGATAGAAATAAATAGAAACAAAAGGCTACAATGTCTACCTAGATGAGAGTGAGCTCGAGCTTTGGCCGGTTGGGTTGTGGTTCTACTACCTCCATGTGAATCCTCACCGTCTGAAGAATACCATAGGTGATGTTTGACCCTGCCTTGGTCACTCTCTGATGTGCCTCGTCTACCACCCAATCAGCTCTTTTATCTCCCTTGGGCACCAAGTACACTGGTCCCTCAATGCCAAACCTGGAAGAAATGACAAGATCTTAGTATTAATCATCAGACAATAAATTATTAGGTACATTATCATGATTAACAACTGTCAAATCCCCAGTAACGCCCTTTTTGTTTTAAGGTGTAGAATGGCCAACTTCTATAATGATGGGTATTCTGATATTAGATTGATAAGTTAGCAATGCTCTAAGTGATAAAATGCTGTACCGCATGTGATCACATTTGATAAAATGCTATACAATATAAACCACATGTGATCACATTTTCATACTTTTACAAACACGTATGACAAATTTAACATATACAATAACACAACATATGAGACCACCAAAGCCTAGTGCAGGATGGTCAGCTTACCCAACACTCATTTTTGACAGCATGTATAGACCACATTTTAGTGCACAAACAAGTAATCAACATAGCATGTAATACTTAAAAAGTTAAACTAGATAAAAGAGATGAAAACATACTTGGGAACAAAAACAATAAATCCATTTGATTTGATCTTCACTATCCTGCCCTGGGTGTCTGTTGGCCTGCAACAAATGGAAAATGTTGTTAATTAAACGATATTGGAAGGCATATGACACTTAATATAAAGTTTTAGACAGCAAACTAATAGTACCGTTTCTTGAAGTATATAAGTGTATGAAGCTCAACTGAAGCTCGGCTTGCCATCTGAGCATTTCGATGTCGATTATTCAAATCTGAGAGAAACAAATATGAGTCCAAGATTATCAAAGGTTCAAGGCGACTGAAGTATAGGCATAACTGTATAAGGTGTATCTTGTCTAAATATACAGTTATCCACCACTCGATGTATGTCAAACTTTGGTTGTTAGCTCAAATGGTAGAACAAAGTGTCTGTTGTAAAAAACACAAGTGTCCGTTTGTTAGTTTCTTTTAATCTTAAATGATTGAAAATCCTCATAAAATTAACAATAGAGTAAGCCATCCCATGACTATAGCTTCATAAGGAAAAATAACAGTGAGGCACATGAAGTGTGTGCGTTACACATGCCTTGTTAAAGTCACTAAGCCTCAATTGAGGTAACACAGTTTCAAGGCCTTGGTGGACCTCGTACCTTACACACCACACTTGTGCCTTTAATAAAATTGTATTAGCAAACAACCGATTAAAAGTTAAAAGAAATAAGTTTGAGAGGCCACAGTAAAAGTCCTACTGTCAGCAATGCCCGTAAGTTGTGGACCATCCAGAAAAATTGGAGGAAGCTTGGCAATTCCTAGTGCTGCAGCTAGCAACCGGTGCACGATGACATCTGCAAAAAACAGAAAGTTCAGAACTAATTGTAGTTGTACCGACTCTCCTATTCATCAAATTAAATTAAGACGGATTCCACATTGTTAAATGTACATTTGATGAATGATTAAACTTCAAAAACATACTGATTCCACATAACTTGTATAAAATAATGTCTCAAATTTGGTGAGTACATCATACAGAACCTTAAAAGGTGACTAGTGTATGAGAAGCTTCATCCTCATCAATCCTCACCCGCTTGTATGAACTTCCAATCTCAATGTAGGATGGCATGGGCCTCGACTTATCACTACGGTTAGTCCACAACAACCTAGCCACAAGTTTAAATTGCTGAAACAAACTCCATGAGTAAGGATAAAGTTGCATGCATCTGACCCTCTTTATAGTAAAAAATTATGGGCCAACATGATGTTGCAGGATCCATTCTTCCTGGTCACTTTTATTCTCACCTCCATCCCAAATACAATCATGATGACCTATCAAATTTTGGCTTTACAAGAAAATTAAATAGCAAATCTAACAAAACTGTTGAACATCACATATAACTTTTTTTTTACTTCTCTCTCCATGTTTATAATTATGGCAACTTAGACCACTTGTCATCTAGTCTTGTAGTATTGGCTGTGAAGACCTTTCGTTTCTATGATGGCCTGAGCATTAAGCATGGATTAGCTAGGTAAAGTTTCTGTGGCCCACTAGGTAGCTCTTAGAATACCATCCCTTTTGTTCTTCAGTCTATTTTTACTCCAACAAATCATTCTGAGCAATGAATGTTTGTGACCAAACTTAATCCACCTCTGCATGATCATATTCAACCCATTAGGCAAACTGCTAATATACATGCATATCTGAATATACTTACTTTCCCCTTGAAAAGGAAAAATAATTACCAAAGATAACTTTACCATGCAAGTCAAGATATAAGCATATACTTTTGTTACTTTAATGACAATGGTAATTCCCATAATTCCACAGGAAATTTATAAGTAGGACATACACATGATGTGGCATATAAACAAGAAAACCCCACAATATATGTTAAGTCTTTATGTATGCAAAATTGGAAATGGCACTAAGAACTGGTGACTGGTTAATTAACAAATGGTGGTAAAATACACATGGCAAAACACCAGCCAAGATTCAACAAAACTCAAAACCAAAATGCTGAAATCATCAATATTTGTTATCTGGACTGTAAGAACGATGACTCATACACATGGACCATACTGCAGTAAACAACTAACCTGCATATCTGCGGATTGGAGAAGTGAAATGAGTATAAAGACGTGCTGCTAGACCATAATGGGAAAATTCAGAGGGGCTCAAATCTCCACTAGCGAAGTAAACTGCCTACATTTTCAAGCAGAATATCATACTAGAACATCTACACTTGTAAGCAAATAACTGATACCACTACTTTAAAATGTACCTGGGTCATGCATCGAGTTGCCAGAATCCTGATGAGCTTATTAAAGTATGGATCATCACCCTGCAGATGATCTCAATGACCAACTTGCACAAGCATATACCATAAAAGGAAAATAGAGATGCAAAATGTATAATATAAGTAACACACGATGTGTTATTACCACTGCACGATCAAGTGAATCAGCTAAAGCTTTTGAAGATGAAACATCTAAATCCAGCCCAACAGCTGCAGCTGTCCGCAGTAATGGTTCAAGCATCTCTTTGGTGGGACTAGGATGACGCCTGTTCCATTTTAACCAAGTTAGGTAGAACTAAATTATGATTCCGCAAACATTTCAAGAAAGAAAAAAATACCTATTTTGCACCTAAAAGTATAATAAAATAATCTTGCTCCAGCTCATTATTCTAATCTTGACTTATAAAGTTTGTGATCAATACAACATTCTGATACAAATGCATTATTTTAAAATGACTAACACTGTAAATGCCAAGAAAGGGCAAATTAACAAAAAAAAATCAAGAATAGCATTGATATCAGGCACAAAAATGAGAAAAAAAATATTGGGGAACCTAAAAGATCTATTGCTTGATTCTTAGGTATGGAAAGACATACGGGCACCAAGGCTCACCTACATGTATATTTAATGCATACTTTATGTTTATAACAAATATATTTATCAAGCACTTATTTAACTTGATCAAAGTATCACTTCATAAAAGTGAGCTTGATTATCAAGGTACAATGAGTTAAAAGTTTAAGACAAGTTCACAAATAAGACAATCTCAACCTCCAAAATGTTGGTGAGTCCCAGGTTTACTCGAATAGAGGACAATGCCTATGACTAAAAGCTAATCAATTGTAGAGATCCAACCATTATTGTTACCTCAAGTGTCAAACACAATCAGTTATATTGTTTTGATATGTTTACAAGGTAAAAAATGGATGCAGCAAAGAGCTGTGCTAGAGGGATCATCAGGACTGATGTCTAAGGGCTTAGTTATAGAGGGCACATCCACTTATTTTCATCTCTTCCATTTGTCCTCTTTTTTTCCACTCCGTTATCATTATCATGCTGCATTTTTTTCTTCTATTTCTGACATTAAAAAAAAAACTTGATGGTTTGAGGAGTTCCCTTTTGGCTTTGGCAATCCCGGATCAATGATTTTTCAAAGCATGTTATAACTTTAAAGTTTATCATGTCTGGAAGATGGGTTACATGGAGAGTAAAAGCTATGAGAGCAACCAAACTGAACATTAGGATGTTGGTCAGGTTTGTTTCAGTTTCCATGATAAAATGGTTTGGGTTATTTTTGAAAAGTCACAAAATTAAAGTTTTCCACTTAGATTGAAACAGAATTTACAAACTTATATTTAAAGACTTCATGGATTAACACAACAATGATCATGAAACAAAAAGAGTTCAAGTTCAAAGAAAGGTAATGAAACACATCTACCTTAATAAAGAGCACAAAGGAAAATGTCTCAAGATTTTTTCTGCAACCGAAACATTAGCAGCCAACATAAACTCCTCGATCATTTGGTTTGCCTCGCGAATTTGGTACATACCTGCAAAACAAATTTTAAATGCTCTGATAAATTACTAAAGAATAATAATTTAAACATGTACCTATGTCTAAAGGATCATGAGTTTCTGTATCAATTTGGAATTTGACTTCTGGAGAAGCAAGTGTAAGAGCTCCTCTCTCAATTCGCCGAAGCCTCATAATCTGTTCAGGTAGAAGATACTTAAAGTTCCCTTGCTCATGAAGATCTTTAAGTGCCATATATACTGGATAAACAAATTATAACCAAATTGGATTAAAGCATTAAACCAGATAAGCTAACCTTTGCTAATGAGTTCAAATTTCGTAGGTCGGTAGTCAATGGATCCATCATTCGGCTGCAAGCAGCAAAAGAGTACATAACCTGCCTTTAGTTATGGGAGTTAAAGTATATAATCTGCATTCAGTTCAACTTTAGAGGTTTAAAGCCACAGTTTAAATTGAAAAATTCCATGGTATATAATGAATTATACACAATATTTCATGCAACTAATGAAACTAATATGTAAACCGAATTAGGTATGACACAGTACTAATGCAGCAATCCAAGTCACTCCATAAACACAATCAAACAATCACACCAAAAGGTGTTATCAAAAGGCAGGACTGTTTGTGCTGGAAGTGGATGGCAGGGATTTGAAAAGGCATGGATCTGAGATGAGCATTTTTAAATCGATACTTTGTGGTACATTCTAATAGAGTATCTTGGTTCACATCAATCTAGAAGGATGATTTGAACTGAAATTAGTTTCAGATTTAGAATTATGGGATGTGACAGAAACAATATTCATTGGCTGTAGAAGGATAATTTCATGAGCTCCTGGGACCTTTTTTAAATGACAAAGTAAAGCACAGGCCAAGAATTGAAGCAAAAAAGGAGAAGGGGGGGTTAGGAAAACATCGACAATTTTGTGCAGTTTGGAAATCTCAATCCAGTGTGTAAGTTCACTCTTTTTTCCCTCTTTCTTCTCTTTTCCTCTTCTGCTTATTTCATTTTCTTAATAAAATAGCACTGGTAGGCAAAGCTATTTGGTCAAACAAGGTGAAGCATGAACTCAGGGCTATTTAATGCAATAACCTTTATTTAATTGTTATTAAGCTATTATTGAAATACAAATTCTTATCCAAAATATGATACAGTGAATTTTCTAAACCTATCCTTCATTGATTGTTCCATATCACATATAGCCTTACCCAAGGAGAGGAAAGCCAAAGACTGATGGCAAGAGAATGGCTACTGTTTTTAACCAATAATAATGCATAGATTGAATTCTTCCTAAGCGCTACATGGGCATATCAGCTAAACAAGCATAACTTCATCTTTTACTTTCAAAATGCAAGCTTCAAATCACAAAAATATAGAGAGTTCATAGATACTTTGCCGCAGCAATAATTTAAAAACATTAATAAGGAGCCTTACATTTTTTTTAAATTAATTGACATGCTTATGTGAATGAGCTAGTGCATCCTTTTTACAGCTTCCCTTGTAGGTATAAGCCTATTAGGCCTTGAAGAAGACTTATAAAGGCCATGAGAATAGAATAAAGAAGCAGTTACAAATGTCATGGTGAGAATAAAAGGCAAGAACAAGGGACCTATCATCCATTCTTGCTTGAGCTTCAACATAGGACAGTGCAGCACATGACTTGATAGCACTTTTTGTATATCTTGTTGATATTATTTCTGTATCAGGTGTCATTTCCTGTCATTGTAAAAACAATCCAAAATTATAAATTTAATCAGAAAGCAGACGAGCCAACAAGCTTACAAGCTTGGAACAAACATCACTAGACTTTTCCACACATGCAAGTGAAAGACAACTTATAAAACAGGTTTCCAAGTATCATCAAGTAAAAATTTAGAAGATACCAAATCAAAAAAGAAACAAGAAAAGAAGTTATTCAGACCCTTTAACATACTCTACTATTTCAAACCACCACAACAATAAAAAAACTAAAATGTCAGGGGTCAGAGGTCCAAGAACAAACTGCCAAAGATGATAACAATATTAGAATGATCAAATAAATTTGCATCATATACAAAAGAGAGCTAAGATTGATTGCATTTGAAGATGGGATATAAGATGTAGAGTAAAGAGATTAAAATTTTGGAATGCACTTCAGACTTCAAAAACTAATAAGATTGTGTAGATGCATTGCACAAACTTCCAAGATGAAATAAACAAGTGATGACAACACAAGAAGCCATAACCTCCCAAATAAATGAAGTCTGCTACATGGATCTTCCCCACCATTAAGCTGTCTAGGGCAATATCACTCTACCGCCCCTCATTCCAGCAATTTTAATAGACTAAGCTAATCCAACTGGAGCATCTATAAATCTTCGGACATTTACATACCATTTTAATTTCTTTTCCTCAACTTATCTTTCAATGAAGCTGCATCTGATTCTTCACAGATGACACATGTAAAAGTTATCATAATGACATTTTCAGCCCAATATATAAATGCACAATGAAAATGTTTCTATATATCCAAATTTGTGATTATACTAGTATTTAGGTGTATCTACCAAATGTCAAAAGGTATTAAAAGCTACAACTACATCAATAGCAATAGTTCTGGGATGTGTCCTAAACATGCAAGGAAGCAAGATGGGCAATTTATGATTTCAATTACATTAGAAGATTGATACAGTTGAACAAAAAAAATTGCTTATCAGCAAGAAAGAGAGATGAACCAACAATGGCAATTTAAAATGAAGAGCTTATGAAGTACTGTTTAATTACAACTTTGGAGGACACCCATTTAACAAGTCCTTCCAAAGTTATCCTCGAATTATGGTAGAGTGGCACAGAAATTACCCAGATGACAGAAAAAGCCAGCCTCTCCACATCAGAGCGAAGGGAACAAATGTCTACAAAGAAAGGAAAGTGTCTTGTCTCACTATTTCATACCTAATGAATAATAATAATGTTTGTACTTCAACAAAAAAAAAAGTTTCAGCAGTATATGTACTTTCAGTGAAACCTAAAAAGGGAGAGGAAACCTTCAGTCAGAGGTTTGGGAAGCATGTCAATCCGACGCTCAACAAGATAAACTGATGTACCCCTTTGTGAAGCCTCTTCATCCAGAGGGGTACCAGCAAGAACAAAATTTGTGACATCAGCAATATCTGACAATGCCAATAAGGATTCACAATGATGTTTAGGGCCTGCAGAACCATGATCTATAAAAGAAAGCCCAGGATTATTCGTAAAGGATAAGATATAAATGACATTGAACTTGTACAAGTATGTTTGATTAAATTAATCTCTGTACACAGATAATGGTGTCATTTAGACTTCAAGCTAAGGGTATAAGATACCTATATTTCAAAGTTCAATAACTGGTTAAGCATTTTCGTTTTTCCCTTTTTTATTTTTTGCTTGTACATAAATCTACTGACATGCATCAGTAAGTCTATTTGTGCAGACGAATATAATTTAAGCCAAGGTTCACCATATTGTGTGGTACAGGTGGTACATACCAATCCAACAAGGGAATGGTACAATCGGTACATACCGATCTGTCAGTATACCATAACATACCATGTGCTGGTACATTGGTACAGATTGATATATATCGTACCGACAGCCGATCAATACACTGGTACAGACCTATAAACCAAACCATAAATTAAGCAATTCTAACTCAGTTAAGCTGGAAACATTTCAGCATTGCCAGCAAAGTTTTGAAGTGCTGAAAACCAACATCAGGATTCAATTTTACATAAGATGATTACAGGTTATCATGTCTCTGCAAATTGATTTGGATAGGCAAAAGCCTTCAGCAGGCTCGATTATCCAACATTAGAGTATCATCCACAAGCTAGTATAAACCCAGGATGAGAGACACACAGTGCTCTCAAGGCTTCCAAGAGAGACTGGTTCAAAATACATGGACCAAGAGGACAAATGAACCTTAAGGGAAAGAACACAAAAAGACACAAGTCTAATAAACTTAATCTAATGTACATGACTTTGGATCAACAAAAATTACAATACTACCACCTACTATTGAAGCTTGATCAAAATATATGTTAGGTCTTTCCAAAGAGGTTTGATTTTTGTATTGTAACTATTCACAACAAGCAACAACAGATCTCATACTTTGCAAAGTTTAGTTTCTGATAAGTTAGTTCCAGTGCATAGCATCAAGCTACTGTATCCTTGTTAAAAATAAATAAATTAGTTACGAAAATATCATATAAATATTTACTGCTTTCTAATGGATCCAAAAAATATATAGAATGATCCAGTTTAACTAACCAAAATGCACCGATTTCCTCCATCCAACAGTAGCAGATATGCTTGAATCTAAAGACAAACATAAAGAACATTAGATACAACATTAAAGACGATGTCATTTTGTTCCAAATTTATGATGCCCTCATAGAGCCTTCTGTTAGTTCATTGTTGAGGAATTTCATAAACCTTAACAAGTATATATAAACAGTTTTGTGCTTAGAATGTGAGAATTGTGTGTGTCAGCATGCAAACTTCACGGAAAATGGTCCATCTAAAAGTAGATCAACTGGATCCAGTATTAAAGTTCCAGCAAGCTAGGCAGTAGGTTCTTATGTGACAACATATAATACAAAACAATCTGGTTCCTAAAAACCAAAACAATTTGATCAAGGATTTAGTGGCATCCATAGCAACTAATCCAACTCAATCCAGTTAAGGAAAAAAAGGGCTCAGCTTGTTCAGTCTCATAAGCCAATGAATAGTTTAACTTGAGGCTCATACATATCAAAATGCTTGTGGAGCTGAGCACTGTGTGAAAAAAAATCATCTGCACAAATGTGAAAATAGATTGAAAAACTTTCCACTCTGACTTTTGAGGACTATATACGTAATGCATTATATCAATAGGAATGTGGAGATGTGATTGCACTGTGAAGGTTGAATACAGAATTACTAAGAAGAGTTGGACTGGTGAATGTCTTAAACCAACAAAATTATCCCTACAAGTTGCTTCTTAACATTGTCAAACACAGCCAACAGCCAAACCAAAAATCCAAAGCCTACTGGAAATTAAACTCGACCATATGCGTAGTGCCATAATTTAATATTTTCAGAAACCATAAATCAGGCAAGCTAAAGAAATTAGAAATCTTAGCTGCAGCTTGTCATAATCTTTGTCTACTTTATATAACAAGTAAAATCCTAACAAACCAAAAAAGAATGCAGGTAACTTAATCATGGGCAAGCAAATTCAGTAAATTTATGGAAAAAAATCCTTTATCCAAGACCAGATGGAGGATACGAACTCCCACTTCGAAATTTCCATTTGCAAGTGGCATGCAATGTAATGCATCATCAATATCCTTGCAGCCTGGAACAAACGAAGAAACATGATCACTGGCCCAAGAGACTAAAAGAAGTGCCATTGAAGAGTACATACCGGGAGGGTCAACACTGAAGACCCTCAAATGCCGCAAATCCTCTCTATTGGCTTTAGCTAAATCTTCAGATGACAGTGACCATGGTAATGGAGGCAAGCAAGCAAGAACTTGTGATGAAAAAGGTCTTGTATTTATGTCATTCTCAATTAACAGAACCTGTTTAAGGAATTACAAAAACTATCAAAGATGCCTCAATTTTTCAAATGATCTAGTAAGCAAATCCTTGTAGAAAATTGCAGAACTGCAAAAGAAACATTATATAATCATAAAAAGCATGTGCATAGTCACTTGCCTCACTTTCAGTGTCTCTGTCCCCAATCTCTCCTATTGTTCGGACATAATGTCCTGATGGATACCGAGACAAACAATCCCAAGTATCAACAGCAACAATAATTCTTTTGTCCAAAAGATTTCCAAGCTGTCGAGTTTGAATCCGAATTTTAGGAATTCTACGATCTTTGGAGACAAATAAAGCATGGGCCACACCAGCATTACCTGCAGGCATAGGCATTGGCTCCAAAGACCCACAATAACTGCAAGTAATAGCAAAATGCCACAATAACAAAGTGAAGCACAAGAATAAAAAATAAAATAAAGGGATTCTCAGTCCCATAAAAATTACAAGAATAAGGACATGTAAATTGTTTACTTATACATCAGCTAGTCAAAGAAGATTAAGGCCTGCTTGAACAAAATTTAGTGTGCACTTGGATCCTGATAATGCAACAATTTCTCTGGCATGCATATTCCATGTGAGTAGTGCAATTGATGCAACATGGTAATCCAAAATAAGCAAAAAGAATGAGAAAAAATGATAAAAAGCCAAAATCATAAGTTGGTTAGGCAAGGTACTAAATTTATAAGATGAGAGTAATAAACATATGCCAAAGTTCTATGTCAATTTTTTAGTTTAGATAACAATGTTATTCCTTCTATATTAAGTTTCACATGCATGATCACAGGAAGTTTCCACAAGAAATTGCCATTATATGAATCAACAGAACATTCTGATTTCAATGACATCCCATCATCATTGCTCTAATGCTTTCTCCATTAATTGATCTTCTATTCGTGAAACCCATGACCTTCCAGGCTTTTATCTCAAGATATTACATTATCATCATGGGATATCACCTAGGCACCTAGCCTAGGACCAGAATAGTGAACAAGTCCTAGTACACCTTGTATGCATCACCATATGTACACATACACATAGTGGTCCCTATGCCTACCATATATGCTACATCTCCTTAGATTCCTACGCAGCAAACAACCCTTGATGACCACCATATGCAGCATCTACTGATGCCATGACAAGATAGACATTGATAAAAAAAATCTACAAAGCAAATATAGTGCATGTAAACAACCTAAGACCTCTATTCTATATGACTCAATCCTGAGCATCACAACATTAAATTTGACCACTCATTCATCATTGCCCTATCACTTGAAGAATCTAAGTTACTGCAAAGCTCCTACAAAAAAAATCAAGCAATTATTACTTAGATATTTCTAAGAAAATTTCTGGAAGGCAAATTCCATAACAAAGTACAAGCATTACAGATCTTCTGTTCTACTTACGAATGCCAATTGCGCTTTATAATTCCAACGACTCTCCCAGCCGGACGACCTGACACAGGAGGCACAGATCCAGTACTAGGTTGAACAAGATTTTCATTCCTTGGAGCATCATCGGCACTACTAGGGACCAAATGAACATCTTCTTCCTCATCATCCTCTTAAAGAAATTCATATAACAAAACCATCAGCCAGTGCATACTTATGTCTTAAGAATAAATTCAGAAGCATACCATCATCAGCAATTATCATGGACTTCCCATCACGCCACTGGTCTTGAGGCAATAGCTCAACCGCAACTATATCTCCATCAAAAGCCCTATTCATGTTAGATCGACCATAAATAACTATTTCATCACCAATACTCTCACTCCCAACATAAGCCTCAAATGGATTATAACGGTTCACACGAAGCTTTCCTTGATGATAAACTCCATGAAGCAGACCCGAAGTAATTTCTGACATGGGCTTGTGCTACATCAAAGTGAAAAGGTATGGTATTTATAGTTGTTATAGAAAAAGTGACTAATGAAAAACACTTGCAAGACTTATTCAAGAATGTCATAAATAAAATGTAATATACCTCACTGTAAATAACTTTTTTCTTAGATGGTCTGAGATCTTCAACATCTTCCATGCTAACATCAGCAGATGATGAAAGAACAACCAGGTCAAGTAAATCAGGTTTCCCAAGAGATCTTACATATGATTCAACTGCAACAAAAAATAAAGCCTCGCTGAGTTTTAAAGTAATGGGTTAATTACAATGAACTGTCAAAATACCCAAAGCTAAAAGGAATTACCAGTTTCTGCAGAAATGCCCTCCTCAATGGCCCTTCTCTTATTTTCTCTATCATTGGTAATGAGTAATACTTGTGTGTTTACACCTAAATGACTTTGGTACCAACGTGCAGCCACTCTTATAGCTAAAGAACCAACATGAGGTGTCAACATATTTAGTGGCAAGTACAAACTACAGAAACAAATTGCTCAAAAACTGTAGAAATGTTAATAGATGCATGTTTTTCTTCACAATATTAGTATAAGTGGGATGTATCAAAGGATATGAAATTCATGATATCTAGGTCATTTGATTCCAATAAAGGAATTGCCTAAAATTATTAGGCTTTCCAAGATAAACATGAAGAAGCAATCAGAGAAACCAAACAGGGTCCAAAGGTCTAGAGACATGAAATGCATACCTCTGTCATTCCGATCATTTGGGCTTTCTCCGACCATCTCTTTCACATAAGTATCTCTGTTTCATTTCATATATCAAAAGTGAGCTTAAAGAAGTACAAAAGAAAAAGGCTCAGCAATAATACCATGAGATATGAAGAGAATTAAGTTAACAGAAAAAGATCTAAACACACTTTATCAGTTGGAACATATATCTAAATCTCTTAAAGGGAAGTAAAGGCCAAACTTTGCAAAGTCCAAACGGACAACCCCACATGCTGCTTACACTAAATTATAATTCTCAGTTTATTGTAACATTATACAGAAAGAAACCAACCAAGAAAGCAGATCATCTACCTTAAAACCATGTCTTTTTTATCTTAAACAAAACAGAACAAGAATACAAGAAAACAACTTACTTGTGGTGCTCATTGGAGAACACAAAATACTTCCTAAGCGAATTAGTACAAAGCGCCTTCAGCCTGTTATACACAGCAAGGTTCTTATTCCTCACCTCCTCCAACACCACCGACAGCACTACCACATCGTCTACGGCGGGGTTTTCCAACAAATCAATCTGCATAATTCCCATCAAAATCAACAAAATAAAGCCAAGACAAGGCGTAGAACGACCAGGGACCACGGGAGACATCGACGGCGACCTGATTGAGGACGACATTGGTGTCGACGATCAAGATGGTGGAGGCGGAGGTGCTGAGCCGAGCGGCCGAGGTGTTGCAGGTCATGCAGGACGGCGCCCCGCAGTAGATGTCATCCCTCAGGTAGTGCTCCCTCACGACCTGAGGCGGCCGAAGAAGAAAGAGAGATAAATTAAGAAATAATAGGGCTAGGGTTTTGAGGCGGTAGGGGGGGCGGGGTGTGTGTTGGTGCTGGAGAGAAAGTTAACCTTGACGACGCGGCCTTGTCTAGTTTTCTTGACGAAGGATTTGCTCTGCAACATCTTCGAAGGCTTCGAGCGAGAGATGAACGAAGAAGTGACGATAGGAGGAGCCGCGTGTTCCGGAGACGTCGCAAAAGCTTATAGGGTAGTCGAGGGGAGAAGCGGCTCCTCTTGGTGGAGGTCGCAAAACTTGGAGGGCGAGGGAAAGCGACAGGAGAAGCGGCGACCTTTCGTGGGGTCGCAGAAGCATATAGGAACTAGGAAGGCTTCTCATCATGGACTCAAGCGAGCTTGGGCCTATAAATGGGCTATTCGCAGGTCCAATTGCTCGATTACCGGTCCAATTGATCAACATAGACAAGTCCAAATTCAAATGAACAACAACTACGGTACCGATTTAACCTTTCAATTAAACATTACAACATATATATATATATATATATATATATATATATACATTACAATATATATATATATAAATAAGATTCCAAGTCATAAGTCTATCTTCTATTTAATTGAGTCATTATAATCTCAATTTTTGATTTTTTTTTAAATAGAGTAATATATTTCAACGCAAGTTTGCTGATCATATATGTCATCATCAAGTCTCTTATAATTATTAATTCAGCATATAAATTTACATCAAGTTGTTACATTAATTTAGGGTTAAGATCCACTTTAGCCCTCGTAATTTTGATCTATGCTTACTTGACTCAAAATAAATTATTAATATAATGACATGTGTAACTTAGGATTAAAGTCTATTTTAGCCCATATAGTATTGGTCATTGACCTCTTAAACCCTTATGGTTTACTTATGTCGAAAATAATCTTTATATTTTTAAAAACGTAATATATAAGCATCTTCTATCAAAGTATGAGTTAAGAGACGTTAGAGTTTGACATGCTGACTCATAATAAATCATTAATATAATGGTACATGTAATTAAAGTTTTCGAAAAATTGAGACATCCATCAATGGCGAGAGGTGTCGTTGTGAAAGCGACCACTAGCAATAGCACTGAGTCGTTGTTGCCTAATAGGGTATCATATGCACATAGCATCTCTCACATTGATGACGAGTTTAAGAGTTTCCGATCTTGCCTCAGGTGGATGTGTATCGATCAGTCCAACCTAAGCACGCATTAGTCTCCTAGTCCCTCCTCCTCTTAGGCATCTTCATCCCCACCACCTCCCACTTTGTTCTCTCTTGTGGCCCCACCCACCATGCCTATGACGTAGTATTCTAGCTCTCCCTCACCTCCGCCTCTGCCATCTCCTACGTCTAACTCTTTATCTTCCTTCGTCGCTTCCTATTCCTTGACAAGCTAACCGAGGAGAGCGAGTAGGTGTGGGAGGGCTACATGGACTAGCTCAACAACTCCTTCCGCCTGCTCTTTATCTTTGTAATGTTATGCTTCATGGGGGAGGCGACTTACAAGGTATGATAGTACTCGTCGGGATTGAAACAAGTGTCGTTCAAGGTGGCGGGTAATGCCAAAGTGGGTGACATGGTGGCGTACACCCTAGAGCTAGTGTGTTAGACCATCATATTAGTGTGTGAGGGTGGAAGAGAGGATGAAATATGAGGCAATTGAGACAAAGACAATCAGAATAAGAAAGAGGGACCAAGAGACACTACGTGTCTAGTGCCAGACTGGTTGACATACATCCACGTGAGGCAAGACCGAAAGCTCCTAATCTTGTCATCAGCGCGATAGAGGCTACATGCATATGATGCCTTGCTAGGCAGTAGTGACTCAATGCTATTGTTGGTGGTCACTTCCACAACGACGCCTCCTCATGAAGGTCTTAGTTTTTTTTTAAATTTAAATCATACATATTATTATATTAATAATTTCTTATGAGTTAATATGTCATGTAAGCAAACTCTAATATCTATTAACTTAGACTTGACATGAAGGACTTATATGTTATATTTTTGTAAATATATGGTTTATTTTAGACACGAGTAAACCATAAGGACTTAAGAGGTCCATGATCGAAACTATATGAGTTAAAATGGACATTAACCATAAATTATACGTGTTATTATATTAATAATTTATTATTAGTCTGCATACCATGTAAGCATACTCTAATGTCTGTTAACTCAAACTTGATCAGATAGGCTTATATGTTATATTTTAAAAAATGTAAAGGTTATTTTCAACACGAGTAAGCCATAAGAGTCCAATAGATGCAAGACTAAAACTACATAAGCTAAAATAGGCTTTAACCTATTAATATATATTATATGATTGTAGAATAAATTATACGATATATATATATATATATATATATATATATATATATATATATATTCTATGATTGAATAATGTAAGATAATTGTTTTTTTTCAAGGTATAATGAAAAAAAAAAAAGATCATTTAAGTAATGTATGATATGTTCTCAAGTGGGTTGGGCCTAATAAAATGGTGATCGTCACAGCCTTTTACATTTGTAGTCTCCTCGCTAGTCTGTTGATTAGGAGTTCTATAAGATACGAAACTTCAAGAGGCTAAGGAGGCTTCGGCAGAAAGGGAGGAACACTCTTTCTTCTGTACTTCGATTGAAGTATCCTAAATACATTCTCTTGACATGGAGTTATAAATTAAGTGATAATTTATCCTCAATAATCTACTATGCCGACAAGCAAAGTTCCTATGTGACTATAATATATATTCTCTGGTCATCTTCTACCTTCTCACTCCATACCTTGTACAAACTCTCTTGAGCTGTTGGAACATGTTGTCATCGTCTCCTACCTAATCACTTCAGAAAGTTTCGCATTGCAGCTTCTTGCTTAAAACATCTACTGCACGTTGAAGGTGAAGTTGGCCTGGCCACCGAGGTGTGGGCCTTCTGCTCCCTGGGTTGCATCATTCTGGCTCATCTGCTGTGATGGTTCTCAACGAGCCACTGTTTCCCCTCTACATGAGCTTTCACCATGGTGGATTTACTAACAGAGTTGTTTGCGCATCTTTCTCTTAGTCCACTTCACGTCATAGTGTTTCTTCGCATGGATTCTGTGCTCATTCTCTATTGATATAGACACGATGAATTGTGTCCAAATATATTATTATGAGATTTTAACGAGGATAGATATGTAAAAAAAATCCCTAAGAAAAATAGAGTGTGGTGTCAATGATGAACAGTGAAACATGACTTTATGGACGATCAATCAATCCAAAGTGTGCAAATGTCAACAATGTACAAGAAAATATAATATATATATATGGCTCAAATCTTGATAATATGTATGGTAAGATAGTTGACTACTTTGGAGACTTGATAATTAATTGCTTTGTCAAACTAATTACTTCTTGCTGTGCTCATGTTCCATGATCATCGAAGCACGCATTTACTCCGAATGAACTATTAGCTACTCACCTTTTACGTTTAATTTGTATTTTTCGAGGCATTTCTTACAGCATTTCTTTGTAGGGAAGGACAAATATTCACTATTAAAGCACATGCAGCCGATGATATATGATCTATCTGGGACCAGTCAATCAACCAGTCGTCGTCGTCGTCATCATCATCTGGGGCTTACTGTTGTACAATTCCATGAGCCATGCATCAAAGAAGTGAATCGCAGAGATTGCGATGTACAGATAAAAAACACAAAGACCAGTCGTAGAGTTCAACGAGTCTGCATGACAAAGTTACTAATTCTTCTGTGTCAGATTTGAGATCTGGCGAGACTTCCAAGCACACAACTTCCTGTGCATGCTGCCTCCTCGTCGTCGGACGAGCTCGACGTTTCGTCTCCTCCTGGCATCCCGCATGCATGCATGGATTCATTACGGCAGCATCTAAGCTTTTCGTGCAGGAGAAGAAGCTGAACCCCTCTTCCAATCCCACGCAACGACGAACGCGTGTTCCGCGCTCTTTTTCCACAAGAATATGCTTTGCTTAATGTAGTCGAAAAGCCTAAAGCGAGCTCCTTTTCGTCGTCACCTCCAATAATTCAGATCTCGAATCGATTCCTCGAGTCGGCAAAGCAAGTCAATCGTCAATACTGAATAATAGGGAATTTCCACTGACGAGAACACTTGGCAGTCTCTCGGTGGAGGAATAGGAAAGAAATCGTACGAACGGGTAGAACGCAAAGCTGTTTTAAGTTGGTGAAGAGCGGCAGTGGCGAAGAGCGAAGGAACGGGGAAGAAAGATAACTCAGTGTTTGGAATATGGATCAGCTTATCTTCTCATGGTCTATTGCTGATGTCCTCAACAACGATCTCTTCAAGAATAAGGTTCTACGTCCTGCTCTCTCCTTGTAATCTGCTGCTGCTGCTGCTGGATATGATGTGTTCTCTTGCTTCGTTATTATCTCTCATGATCGACTTTTAGATTACTGCAGTCGAAAGACCACTTCCGGGCTTCTTTGTTGCGTTACTTAGTCCTATCACATGCTCGTTATATTCATCTTGACTTCCCTCTGTTTCTTTCATCTTTCCCCTGTCGCTGATTGCCTTCACACCATGGGATTGCGAAGGCTGAAATGGTTTTTGTTCGTTGTGTTTCATGTTCGAACGCTCTGTTCAAAGTTCTTTCTCTACAGAAAGATTTATTGTTTGAAGGTATCAACATTAAAGTGCAATTTGCAGGAAAAAAAGCGTTGTAATGATCAAAGGTATCAACAATATCTTCAAAAAATGCAATACCTCCATTGTAAGATTACTTGCTTACGATCCATTAAATGTATGGTATAGGTATAAATATGACATTTTATTGGGAATATGAAAGTAAAAGAGTTTGTAAGCTGCTAATATTATGCAATGTATCAGGTTAAGATCTCAGAAGATGTAAAAAGAAGATCTCATAAGATGTTCTCGGTCGCTCTCTGTTTGAGCTCTGTTGGTTGCTGATTGTTCTTTTTTGCTCTGTTGATTGTGCTATAAGCACCGTATACAATTAACAATTATAGAAACAGAAGGGAAAGAGAAAGAAAAGCAATCTTGTTGCTTTTGTGATTCATCAAACTATACCAATTGCTTCATCAGCATGTCGTATAGTATAATGCAACGGTTGTATAATGGTTTATGCAAAGTTATCTACCATAGTCAGTGAATGTGGCTTTACCTTTAATGAATACTCTTGAATGAGCCTGACAAAGAACTCAAATTTGTTAGAAATCACTTGCCTAGTTTTTATATTGTATGCATCTTCAGGTGGAGATGATACCAAAGACTTTTGATACCACCGAAAGTTATTTCAGTTCATTTACTTATCCATTGATGGAAGAAGTGCGCGCTGAAGTGTGCTCCAGCTTGGAATCTATATCTCAAGCACCTTTCGTCAAAATAGAACACCTCCGGTGCACAAAGCGGAAGAAGCACATCTATTCCATTTTAATTGCACCACCATTTCACACTGCATCAGCTGGAAGCAATGCTATTTATAGTCCCCACAAAGGAGACATTCTTGTTCTGTCAGAATTTAAACCTTCAGATGTTTCTGATCTGACAAAGAGTGGGCAATCTTATCGCCTTGTTTCGGTTTTTAAGGATGAATTTGATGATTTGCCACCCAATACTTATGTAATCAGAGCTTCAGAGGAAATTGATGAAGCGAAGTATAACAGCAGCGACAACAACAAACAGAGAAGTAACCTGTTTGCATTTTACCTGGTAAACGCAATAACATACAATCGAATTTGGAGGGCAATCGACGTTGGGCTGGCTGCTAAGGGAAATTTAAGTCTCGTTCTTAAGGTGTTGCAAGTTGATCCAAAGGTATGCTGACACTGCAAATATATGTTCAATTTTGGTTACTATTGAGTCCATTTGGTATTTATTTATTTGTGACAGGATGCAGAAGATTGTAGAGACTCACTGTCCAATGTTGTTCGAAGAATCCAAGGCATTGACTTCGGCTGGTGTTTATCCAAATTAAATCTTAATGAGTCTCAGACTGATGCAATATTGAGTTGCATATCTGCACGACAACGCGGCAACAATAAATCAATAAACCTTATTTGGGGACCCCCTGGTACTGGAAAGACGAAAACAATCAGTGGCTTGGTTTGGCTTCTGGATCTACTGAGATGCAGGACGTTAATATGTGCACCTACGAATACTGCAGTCAAAGAAGTTGCTTTACGGTTGTTGAAATTGGTGAAGCAATTTTCTGGCAACAGTCGTTGTCGCCTGGGAGATGTGGTGTTGTTTGGCAATGAAGAAAGGATGAGAATCAGTGATGACCTGAAGAATGTGTTCCTGGATTTCCGAGTAAAAAAGATCCAAGAATCCTTTGCACTGAAAACTGGATGGAAGCATTGCCTGAGTTCAATGCTTGAGTTTTTTGAAGATGGTGTTTCTCTACACCAAAAGTTTTTACATGACAGAAAAGTCAGTGAGTGTACCAAAGACATTTCAAAAGAAAAACAGGATGGTTATGAGGATAAAATGTTTTCAGATGATGAATTGGGCGATGACGAAGAGGCTTTTCTATCATTTGCTAGGAGAAATTTCAGGGTCCTTTCAAAGCAAATCTGTAGTTGTTTCGAGATGTTGTATCTGCATATACCTAGAGAAGCATTGTCAGAAAGTAACTGCAAAGACATTTTAATTCTTTTTGATTTACTTAAGGAATTTGAGAACCTTCTCTTCAAGGTAGACGCCGGCAGTAAACTGAAGGAAATATTTCAATCCCGTGTAGAAAAGGTGGAAGTATCTTCCTCCGGAGAAATGTTAAATTTCGGAGGAGCCACGTCGTTCATGATTCGCAGAACTAGAGCCTCTTGTTGCAAAATCTTAAGAGCTCTTGAGAAGTCACTGAAACAACTTCCTCCAATCTCTAGCAAACGTGCCATCAAGAGTTTTTGTTTGCAAAATGCTAACATCATTTTGTGTACTGCATCGACTTCAGCCGGATTAAACAAATTAGAGACCAAGAAACCATTTGAGATGGTAGTCATTGATGAAGCTGCACAGTTGAAGGAATGTGAATCATTAATACCTTTGCAAATATTATGGTTAAACCATGCAGTTCTTATTGGTGATGAGTGCCAGTTGCCTGCTATGGTTCGAAGCAAGGTCCAAGTTCTTATGATCTTATCATTGTTGTTATTTACATGTTTCAATCTGTGACAATATTGGAGCTCCTGTTTCTGCAATTCCACATAAAACCAGTTTCACTCTAAATAATTTGGCTGCAAGTATTTAGTTCTACATAAAACCAGTCTATCCAAAAGGATTTACTTTTACTACACTGCCTATTAACTATCATGTTTCCTCGCAAAGCAAAATTTTTAAATGTTTCTTTGTTTTTGTTTCTTTTCTCAGGCTGCTGAAAATTCACTGTTTGGAAGGAGTCTATTTGAAAGGTTGAGTTCATTAGGGCATAAGAAACACCTGCTAAACATGCAGTACAGGATGCACCCTCAGATAAGTTTGTTTCCAAATACCAATTTCTATGACAAAAAAATTATGGATGCACCAAATGTCATTGGAAAGAATCATGAACGAAAATATCTTCCAGGCCCTATGTATGGTCCTTATTCATTTATAAACGTCGACCATGGAATGGAGAGCTTTGATAGTCTTGGACGAAGCAGAAAAAATGAGGTTGAAATAGTTGTTATCTTGCAAATATTGAGAAATCTTCATAAAGGTGACTATTGTAGCATTCATAAGTTCATCTTCACTTATGAGTTTTTTTTTCTTCGAATTTTTTATTAAAAAATTCTGGCCCATAAACTTGTTGAAATATTTCTAGTTTCCATCAATTTACTCATGCTTCTGTCATTGGTGGCTGATCTTGTGCTAATGTTTTTAGTTGATCTCCAGCTTCCTTTACTATGTTTTTCATGACACATAATAATAAATTTTATACATAATGTATGAACGCTCCAGAGAGTCAAGCCTTTGAGACTATGACAGTCCTCCTTTCCTGTCTTTTTCTCAAGCTATTTCTCTGTTCCAAGAAATCATGGTTGCTAAAATAGAATGATCTCTAATTTTTTGAATTTCCTGATCCACAGTGACTAGTGTTTTTTAATTATTTTCATATTTCTAATGGTGATTACTACTTCTACCTGCAGCAAGTTCCAGAACACAGAAAGAGCTTAGTGTTGGCATTATATGTCCATACACTGCTCAAGTTCTTGCAATTCGAGGAAAGTTAGGGAAAATGTATCAGTCGAATTCATTCATGTCGGTTAAAGTTAATTCTGTTGATGGTTTTCAAGGCAGCGAGGAGGATGTTATTATACTTTGCACTGTGAGGTCCAATGCTGATGGTTCTGTTGGATTCCTTTCCAATCTTAATCGTGCCAATGTTGCTTTGACTCGAGCAAGGTACCTCAATGCTGTTTCAGTGGTGTTAATTGTTTGTTTCCCTTTTGAGTTCTGGATTGTTTTGACGTGCAGACATTGCCTTTGGGTTGTGGGCAATGGACCAACCTTAATTAGCAGTGGATCAATTTGGGCAAAATTAGTGTTTGATGCAAAGTCTCGCCAATGCTTTTTTAACGCAACAGAGGATAAAGATATTGCTTCTGCAATCTTTAGATCTGATCCATGGAGCGTCGATTCGCTTAACATGGATGGCTTATACATTAGCAGAAAATCTACAAAGGTGCTATCCTTACTGCAAATATTATCAAAATCAAGAGCTTCAGAGAGTTACTAAATTGGAATCTAAATCTTCTGTAGTTGAAACTTCAGCAGAAATTCAATTTTCTTATCCCATAGTTGGTATCATACTGAATTAATCAGAATACATCATTTTCCAATGTTTTCCACGTTAACAATGTTATAAAATTGGTTTTCTAATTGTCTGTTTGGTAGATGTTGTTCTAATTAGCTACCTGTGAAACTCAGTACCTTCAGGTAACCCTTAGAACGGAGAAATTCAGATGTTTTTTTCTTAGCATATCTGTCATATCCTGTTTACATGATAACTTCATGTGCAAATCATTTCATCTTATTTCAAAGAATATGGTTCACTCAGAGATGGTTTTTTCTTAACATCTGCCAGATCGTGATTACACGTTAAGTTCATGCGCAAATCATTTCATCTTATTCCAAAGAAAATGGTTCCCATTGTTGCACAAACAGATGAAGCTTCATATAGATTTGCCCAAATAGTGTCTTGGTTTCATGCTCTTTGGAACCTTGTATTTGATGATCAACATCAATGGATGAACAGTGATCAAGGAAACTATTACTGTGTTTTTAATAATTTATGAATGTACTGCTGCTATCAGGTCTCGCGGATATTTTAGTCACAGCTCCTTAAATCGAGTGCCTATTCTTCTAGCTTATTGAGAACATGGAAATATCATCAGTTCAATCACTTCATAAATGTACTGATGCCCATGTTTTTAGATGATCATAATCCTGAGGATGCATTGATACTTTTGCATTAGGTTCTGATTTAGCTATCTAGTGTTCCAGACATGTAAATGATTCATTGTTCAATTTTTCATCATACATTAATTTACTGATGGCCATGTATTTGCTTCTGCATTCTTCAAGAATGACAAAGTTACAGGAACTTCAAACTCTCTTCCAGCATCATCAAGTAAACCTCAGGTCTCCAAAGGGAAGGGGTTGGCAACTTCACATAATTCAGTCAAACACAATGATGATTCTGTGGCTTATTTAAGGTTTGTTTTCTTCAGGTGTCATCTCTCATCTTATAAGTTGTCACTAAAACACTTTCCGGCTCCACTAGAGCATTCCCTTCGTTTCTGTTACATATTAACCGTAGTGCTTCTTTGACCAGTATATTGTGAATTGCCATACTTCGTTTACACATTGTTGTCGCACATTGCATCTTTGAGTAGTGATTGCAAGTATTATTAATTTATATAAATTAACATTTAAATTGGTAAACAAAAATTCCGATTGCCTTCTGCTATGATAGTTGAGAAATGTGTGAAAAAAGATTGAGGTTTTTGTGATGTTCAATTCAGACCTGAACCTTTGCGTTAAATCAGAAGCAGGGAATGAAAAATATTGAAGAGATATTCCTTAATATTTTTGATAACTGTGTAGCATTGCATGGAATGCCACATCTGAGAGCTCAATATATATCCCCTCCTAATGTCCACATATAGGTTTGAGTAGATAGATCATAAAGTAGAGAGTAAGTGATTCACTATCCAGAAATTTTGTTGGTTGAACTTTTCATATTGGTTTTAGCTGGAGTATGTTTCGGGTAATAACTTGGAGATATTATTTTAACTGGCTGAAGAATAAACCAATTTTCTTGCTGTGGCTGAATTTATGCATAATAAGTTTGACATATTAATTTGGTAATTTTGTATATATTTTATCTCTGGTATGGTACTATTAATGAATTTTCTGTTCTCGCAGAAGTTTACCTAAATTGATGTATGTGTGCATGTTAGCAAGGACTATTAAGCAGTTTTTGAACCCCAAATTAGTGTTTTTACATTTTCAACTAACATTTATTATCTTCATTTGTTCTATGTCATGAAACAATAATAATATGATAATCTTACTTCATTTTTGTGTGAAATTGCAGAAAGCAGGAACCTCAGAGGAATAATGAAAGTTTGAAGTTCGTGTATAGGCCTGTTAGTTCTGGCAGAAATTTACCTGGAGAGAACTCTTTAGGTTCAGTTAATCTTGGAAGGAATGTGAACATTGCAGGTTTAACGACTACGTGAGGATCCATCCTAAATACTTGGTGTCTTTCATTTTATAGTTTTTATAATGCTTTAAAATTTTGATCTTGCATGTTGTTGTCCAAGTTATCGATGCTATATTTCTCATTTTACATATAATATATTGTATTTTATTGTGCATTTAGTTCATGTATTGGCAATGTATAATATGAGGCTCCAAAGACAAGGCTCAGCTACTTCTTATATAATGGCATACAAAGATAAAAGGGTTTTCTCTTGCAATTTGGTGCATCCCAATCATCATAACGATAGTGTTTCAGACTCTTCAAATGTATAGCAACTAGCTAAATTTATATGTGTCTAATTCAATTGCTACATTCCAGTACACGATACAGAGATGAAAACTAGTGTTCTTTGGTTCATAATACTTGTTCCTTTTTTTGTTTTCAATATTAATCTAGCAGTTCTCATCCAAATCTGTCCTGAGTCATTCTCTCATGATACAGTAAATTTGAAGATTCAGAAATCCACAAAGCTTCTGAAGTTGATCTGCTAGAAAAGGATACTTGGGGTTTGGAGTACATGTGAGTTCTTATACTTCTAACATTAAATTACTTTTTATGTTAATTTTGATTGCTAACTCTTTTACTGATACTTTTGTTTAATACAGATCTAGTGAATCTAGTGATGAAGAACTTGGTCAACGTCAGATGTTTGATACTTCAGTTTCAGAAATTGGGTTAGATACTTAAATGTTTTCTTTAAATGACTTTAAATGTATATGCTAAATTACCAGTTTAAAGCTTTTGCTTGACCGTGTTCTACTATCTTAATCTCAGTTGAATTTGTTATTTTGCTCGTTCTGTTTCTTCCGATCCATGCATGAAGCACTTGGTCAGTATCAGAAAATTGATACTTCAGTTTCAGAAACAGGGTTTTAGACATTTAGCATTCTGTTTGATTAACTTCTTTTTTTTTTTGCTGTCATGATGAATGAACAGAAATATGCTGTCATATTTGTAGATAGTATTTTTGTTTTTGTTTGAACATGTTTTTCTGAACATTTTTTATGTAATCACAATAATACTGTGTCTGATTTTTCATAAAAAAAATATGATTTAGTTCTAATACAGAAGATTAATACTACTTGGACAGAAACACTACACCATACTTATATATTTCTTTGTATGAAAAACTCCTTCACTGTTGTTCTAATGCTGTTTATCATACTTTTAAATTTACCACAGAATTTCTTTTTTCCCATTCTGTTTCATTTCTCTATTCCTTTCTGATCGCTTATAAATGTAAAACTTTTTTCTCTAAGTGTAACTTTCTTGTTCCAGGAACTTGGATACGCCAACGATCTGGAAGCTGTTCAAAATTTTTGCTGGTCTACTTGGTCATAAGGTTAGCATCTTTAATATGATTATGTTGACACATCATTTTGTTTCAAATAAACATTTTCTTCTGCATTTGGTTTCTTAACTTCGTATGTTGTCATGTTTAACTAAATTTGTCTATAATGCCAAAATAATCTTGTGGTTCCTTAGCTATTGTACATCAAATAAAATTGTTTTTCACGGGCATTCATGTTATAATTTTTTTGATGATCGTAGGCAGCAGTATGTATTTCAGTGTGTCGGTCATACTAATGTTGCAGCTCATTGCAATAGACATAATAAATGATCTTTTTTAATCAAACAATGAGTCAAATTTATATGCCTAGAAGCTGAATTATACCAATGTTGTTTGTAATGATGCTATAGAAAGTGACTCAAGTAGCTTCACAGAATAAAAATTAAGATTATGATAGTTTTAAGCTACTCTAATATGCTAATATGAACTAGTAATTTCTTGACTAGTGCAAGTAGATAGATAAAAACTTAATGTATACTGCTAGGATGTTCTCCAGTTGAATAAAACTATCATCATATTGAAGTTTAAATTTTAAATCTTGTCGTGAATTTTATCAACTTGTGCTGTTTGGTTGCACTTTTTTGATTTGTTATCAGCTGTTGAAGACTAACAATTATATGCTTTACTTCATTATGGCAGTAAAATGCAGGTAGATTAGTATGATGTTATTGGCCCGAATGGATGCGTCAACTTTATCAGTATTTTGGCTTTGCTGGTGGACTACCAGGGACACCAATATTTTGTGGCTATACCTCTATTTTGACTCTTTCAAGGAGACGATCTTCTCGTCTTACTGTGTTCTCTCCACTGAAACATAATTATTATTTTGTTATTAAATATTTACGGTGGTGTGTGTCTATCTAAATTTAGTACTTTGGTCTTAATCATCCTATGATCGTATCGTATGTAGCGGCAAATATTTATTGAATGATGATCTTCCTGGAAAGAACAGTTGACTTTTTGTTCAGTGTCAATATTTACTGAAAGGTGATCTTTCTGGGAAGAACAGTTTGACTTTTCTTTTACCTTGATTTGTCTCCCTCAGTAAATCATATTTTGCACCATTACTCAGTCAAGCAGATTGCTGCAGATCCACTGTTTACCACAAAGGATTTTCTCCAGATTAAGTTACAGCCTTTTTCTACCCTTAAGCTGTGACTGAGACAGTCATAGTACCACAATCCAAATGCATTTGTTCTTTTTTCCCTGGAGAAAAATAAGCTTTTCTGATGTCTGAACTATAACTGGAAACTAACGTTTGCTGCACTGTTTGTTGAGGAACAATTCAAGTGGATTACTGCATCCTAGACTGATGACAGATAAACATCCTTCAAAATATGATGAAACATGTCATGCAACATCAAGCAGGCCAGCTAAATTCTTCTGGATGACTCTGTTGCAGAATTGCAGGAGAATGTCTGCCAAAGAAGTTTATTGCTCGGAAGACAAATGAAAGCTGAAAGTTCCATGAATGGAAATGCCCCACCACAGCTGGCTGAATAAGATCATCATAAGCCAATTGAATACACCTTCGTTTGACCAATGGCTTGTCTTTTGGATGAAGTTTCTGTGTAACGATGCAAAACAAGATGGGATAGTATCCCTGCTGATGGCAGAAATGGATTCCAGTAAACTCCACCTGGATCATCATCTGGATCAAACTTTTGTTCTGTAACCCCTTTTTCTTTTCCCATAGGCTGGCATCAATATGACTCGGATGAAATCCAAGAGTAGAAGATTGGAAATGAAGTCACAACATTCAGCAAATGCTTCAAAAACTAGAAACAATTATTTAACCCAGAAAAATCTCATCTTTACTCAATTCTCAGTTTTTGGCAACAAAAAGATACAATTTTTGCACAAACCCTCCAATCCCCGACTTGTACAAAGCCAAGAAATCAAAACAAGGAGCAGCTCGGATCCGAGGACGCCGCCGTCGACCTCAGAGGTCTCTGAGAATGGGGAGGAGGTAGAGGAGGGACGCAACGAAGGAAACGAAGCCGGCGATCTCGGAGGGGGTAACGGCGGCATCCGCGGCAGAGGCGCGCTCCTTGCCCCGCCACCGCCTCGTGAGGAGGTAGAAGGAAGCGAAGAGCAGCACGACGAAGACCCTCGTCGTGTACCGGCTCCGCCGGGGTCGTTCTCCTGCAGCTCGGTCGTCCGGCCCTCTTCCTCCGCTGCCGCCGCTGCCGGCGCCCGCATCCATGGGAGACGCCTGCTTCAGTTGACGACGGAGTACGGGCTCGATCTGATCTGATGCTAGCAATGGCGGAAAGTCTTCTCATATGCTGTGGGCTCAACGGATTACGGCTTTAAATGGGCCGTTGACATATAAATATATTATGGTGTTCAGTTAACTCTATATTTGATCACATATATTATTCATTTATATTAATAAAATGTATGCTTAAGATTTATTTCAAATTTACAAATCAGGTCAGGTTATAATTAATATCAAATTAAAACCAAGTTTGTTCATAATTTAAAATTAAAATGCTAATTATATTTTCAACTCATATTGACAAATGTGAAGTTACGAACCAAATCAATAATATTCGAGTTTTTTTCCCTTAATATGGTTGAATTGGCATAGGTTGAGTTTAACAAGATGGAACACATGATCATATGCAAACTTTACAATGGCATATATGTATACTATTCATATTTGAATTGCAAATTATTTTGACTAATTAATTGACTTATCGCCTGGCCATATGTGGGACCCCATCGACACATCGGATGGTGAACTTTGGGGTGTGGCAAGGTGGTGGGTGTTGGCCGGAAGCAGACGTAGAGTTTGGGGGCAATTGGGTAAATTAATCTTCTTTGGAAGTGCTACGAAGCGGTTACCGCAGCCTAACTCGTCGGAGATGCCGGCCTCGATCCCTCCTCCGAGTTTGGCCGCTCCTCTTCTCTTGTCCCTCGGAATCATCCCCTACACAGACCGCTGAAGAGTAAGCAAAGAGAGGAGAGGAGTGGGGAAGTCTTGGATACTGTTTCCATATCGTCGACACGCGGTAGGTGGAGGTTGGTGGGTGTGGGCCGTCGCATTTTCCTCCGCACCTCGCTTCGGTGAACAGCGCTCGTCAAAGATCTCAAAATATCTTTAAAAAATCTATCTTCTCTCTATCTTCTTGTATTGATCGTGATATGGACGAACACGTGGCTTTGGATTGCGATGTTCCAAATTTTGTGGGGTTTGGGCCTGCTTACATTTTTCCCCTTTTCCCACTGTCGGCGCCGAACACCCTCGCCCCCCCCTTAATCCGTTTCTGAGCGTTTGGGTTCGTGGATTGGTGGGGCTGCTTCCTTGCATATGAAGCAAATTCTTCATCTGGTTTGTATCCCTTCTCCCTTCTTTTTCTCTTTTTCTTTGGTAGATGCGTCCTACGAGTTCTTTATGAATTGGACCGTTGACTACTCTGGATTCGTATGTTTCAACACCATGATCATGATCGTCGGATGTTTTTGTGCTAGTTCTGCGCTCATCTTCTGTAAAAATCTGATCTTGCTGCACTTGTGCAATAATTTTTGGTTTATTTCTGTGGGATTTGCTATATGTATTAATTGTTTGTTCATAGGTTCTTCAAGCAACTGAGGATTGCTCGAAAGGTGAGAGATTCTTTTTGAATAGGTTGGAGGAATGGCAGGGAAAGGAACTACTGTTGCTAAGAACTACTTTGTGCTGAACACCGGAAATAAGATTCCTGCCATCGGGATCGGAACATGGCAATACGGAGGCGACCTCTGTGTGGAAGCTGTGGCGACTGCGTTGACGGTCGGGTACCGCCACATCGACTGCGCCCATCTCTATGGGAACGAGGTCGAGGTGGGGAAGGCGCTGGCCGTGGCTTTCAAGGGTGGAATCAAGAGGGACGATTTGTTCTTGACCTCAAAACTGTATTGTGCGACTAATTCGCATAAGAGGGTCGAGAATTCTGTGAGAGTTTCGTTGAAGAGCCTGGGGGTCTCCTACTTGGATCTGTACCTTGTGCATTGGCCTGAGTGTTCGGCTTTCGGGGATGCCACTGATCCTTCATGGAAATCGGCAAGTGAGTATCGTCAGTTCTCACAACGGTTAAAGCCGACATGGGAGGCCATGGAAGGTCTTGTGCAGACCGGGCTTGTTCGTGCCATTGGTGTTAGCAATTTTGACATTCACCAGATCAGAGAATTGCTCCAATTTGCAAAAATTGTTCCAGCAGTCAATCAGGTTTGGTTGATGATTCTTTAATTATATTTAATGTTTATTTTATGTCTGTCAAAAAAGAATATAGTCCTTCCGAAGATAAATCATCAGAAGTCTCTTTATATGTAACTATATTAATTGATGTGAAATGGGTTTTAACGAGTAGTGTTATTTTGGGTATACTTCCCTTTGACTCCTAATCAAAGGATGGATTGACCATGTTATACTCTCTTTTTTTTTTCTTTCTTCATGATTACTAGAGGAGATGAGTCATGTAACCTATATTCTTAGTTGATACTCAAGAATTTTACGTTAGTAGGTGCACTGAGGTTACTGTTGTTCTATGCTTTTCTTGAGCTTTTTTTTTTCCTGAATCTGTATCTATCATTTAAATAAGCTGTCTCTCAAATTTTTTGTGATGTTAACCATGTAAATTGAATACTGAGGGTGAGGCATAGTATCTTATAGCTATCTGCATGAATTTTGATCTAAGATCTCATGATTCAATTATGTAAGTATAGTCCGATTGCCAAGATTATATCAAGTCATTACAGAATGTCATTAGTAGAGTAGGACTGATAGGAATACAGTTGAGTTTACAATGAAAATTGGATGGAAACTGATGATTTGAGGGACTTAATTTGTCTCCAGGATCTGTGTGTTGGAGATAGTTGATGATCTAAGTTGATCATTAAAAATTGGATGCAATGGTTAACGATGAGCAATAATGAAGCGGACTGCTAGAGCTCATCCCAATTCACTTGGATGATACAACTTTTTTCTTTTTTCAATTTAAGGGTGGATGTGAACAACTGCCTATTTGCATGAGCTACTAAAGAGCTTTCCCTATTCTTTGCAAGTTTTGTATTTATATCTGATTGTACAATAACTTGTAGGTGGAGTTGCATCCATTCTGGAGGCAGGATGAACTTGTGAAATTCTGTCGAGAAAAATGCATCCATGTATCTGCTCATACTCCACTCGGAGTACCCACCTCTCGAGTGGTTCCAATGACTAGTTCCGGTCTTTCTGACAGTGGATCAGAGGATGAATCTGGAACTCCTAGAATAACATTCCGAAGGTCAAGATCAGTGCATGGACCAATGATGCAACTTTCTGTTGTTGCAGATATTGCAGAACAACATAACAAGACGCCAGAGCAGGCAAGTTTGAAAAAAAGTGCTTAATTTCGATTTTGGGCTTTAGTATTTAATCATTTGGGTCCTATTTACAGCTGTTAATTTCCAAATAACTTTGTATTATATAACTCTGCGATACTTGATGGATGATTTGATCAATGTGTCAAAGAGGAACGAACAAAAATTCTTGGTACTAAGTTAACTTGCAATTCAGACAATTAGGTAATTTAACCATTAGCTTCTCCACTTAGCTCCGTCAGGTAGATTACTTTTGAGTATTATTGCAAGTCCACTTCCTTTAACTTCACGTGTATATTTAATAGGCTTAGTGTAAGGATTTCTTGTCATCTCGGACATGATCAAGTGTGAGGTAAAATATATCTGCAGCATAGGTATCATCCATCAAATCGGGATCATGTTTGATGCTGTGGCATCATTCTGCATCTATTTCACCTTTGTCTTCAGGTTTGTGCATCTTCTTGATGGATTTTCTTCTCAACTTCCTAATAGGTCATTCTGAGGTGGGGACTACAGCGAGGAACCAGTGTCCTGCCATGCAGCATAAATTCTGACAGGATCAGGGAAAACATAGACATCTTCAATTGGTCACTGACAGATGAGGAATGGAATAGGATGAACGGGATTGAACCACAGGTATGTCTTTTCGGAAACGGGCCTGTGAACACATCCGAAACTGGCTTTGTTCCAGCAACTGGTCCTCTTCAGGCCGTGCATGAGATTGAAGATGACACTGAGTAATTCCAAAGGCTTCTATTCATCCAAGCTCAGATACTGTAATCTCTTATTTTAGAAGGCAGCAAATTTGGCACAGCTTTCTGCACACATGTTATGTCTGTCCATGAATCTATCTGTTCAACAGACAAATATCATTTTGTAACTTTGTTTGTTGTTAGTGTAAATTAAGGAAATTACATCATATTGTTATGGATCTCAATTTCACTATTTAAGTTAGAGTACTGTAACAGGTGGACCCTAACAAATTCATATATATATATATATATATATATATATATATATATATATAGGAGACAGAAAAAGATGCAGAAACCATAAAGAATTCAAGAGTGTATCAAATTTCAATGAACACCTCAAAGTCATCATAAAAAAAGCATAATATAATAATACACTTCAGTAGCAAACGGTAATAGTTCGCGGGCCATTCCTCTGCAGCAACCCTTGTAATATCACCCTCTTCTTGTGCTCCATCGAGGCGCCATTGGCTTCCGCCTGAGAAATTGCAGGGTCGTCAACCACGGCCGTCATCGTCCTCGGAAGGGGCGGCAGATACGAGCAGGAGAAGAGGCAAATCGCAGCGGTTCCAGGGCCGGAAAGAAGCATTACGGCCGTCGTCAGTGCCATGACACATAAGCCGATACACGGCCCAAGCACAGCGGCTCGGTCCGGGTCACCGGATTTACTTGCCATAAGCCTGGACCGGTCTTGAGGCTTCCGACGTAATTGGGCCGGTTTGTTGCTCGTGTGAAGATTTGGATGCTTGGATTCGCGGCTGCGTCGCTGCAATAAACATGAAATGAACGGCTGGTGATCATCTGGAATTCTATCTTTGGTTTGAATCCTAATGTGGATCCAATTCATGATCTATTCATAGACTTGGGTGATTAAGCCCTTTCTAAGCTTATGACTGGATCGGATCTTCGAAGAGTTACGGATCATGATCCGAGACGTCATCAGATGGGCTCGGATGGTGGCCATCGAAGGGCTATGCTTTAAGATTCCCGCAGCCCACGTACATGCGCTGCAGTCTCCTCTTCCATCACCTGCGGCAAGCTCCGACCCGGGCCTTAGCGGCCGCGACCGGAGCACCAAGGTTGAAATCGTCGTCTTCTTGTGAGGTCGTGACCAAAAGAACCACGGAAAGAGCCTCCACTCGGTGCAATCGAGAGTGATACTACTACAGAAACGAAGGAAAACGAAGCCAACATGAGTTTCATGGCAAACCTTGGGACAAGACTTAGAGAAGAGACTCTCTCGATCAGCGGCGGCGGCCGGAGCATCGACGGCTAGACTCGTCTTCTTTCTCGCCCTCTTCTTTTGAGGTTGTGACCAGGAGAGCCATGGAGCGAGCTTGTGTCCGGAGCAGGCACACAGGGACTGCTGCTTCGGGACATCGGACTGCTCCGACACCGGAGAGCCTTGAAAGCAAGGGAGGCAAGACAGGGACGGCCTCTTCCTGCGTTCAACTCTGGACATTCTTTTAGAAGGGAATGCAATCTTGTAGTTTGAAGCTGTGTTCGATTAAGCTTATATCCATGGGAACCATAGGAATGCTTGTTATCTATCTACTTCTACTGCTCTTCTAATGTCAAGCCCCTGTGATCTCATTGAGGGCATCAATCTGAGAGAGATCGCAAGGAAACTTAGAAGAGAAGTGCTTCCCACACATCTCACCTTGAAGTCTTTGGGCCTGGCTGGAGAATAATTATTCTTTTTGTTAGTAGTCTCAGCCTCATTTTGCATGATAATTGATTCAGCTTATAATATGCACCAAACATTGAATCGAAAAAGAGAATAACAACATTATGTTCTTCTGATTACCGCTTATTTTGCTTTGATCATATTCAAGTATTCATTTAGAGAGGGAGGAATTGTGGTAAGTGGACGCCAATTAACTCTGACGAGTGCAACAAAGAAGTGCTCGGCCACTATGCTGAGCTGACTTGAGGTTGGCCAACCTGCAAGCTATTACATATCTGTAGTGTGTGTAATCTTCCAAAATCGACTCCATATTGAAGTACACAATCTAAATGTTCAGCAGCAACTAAGAGATCAACATTAGAAACATCTTCATGGCAATCAGTGATACTCTTCAAGATATCAAATCTTGTGAGGAACTTATGTCTTTAGAAAATGAAACATGATAGCTAAATATTTAGCCAACTTCATTAAAGCTCAAAATATAATTATTTTTAACATTATAAAAAATTCAGACATATTTTATTTTTTGTATACAAGAAATATATATATATATTTTTCCCAACCGTAACCCGACGACGACCCAAGTGGTGCTAGTCTTTAGGTAGTCGCTTATCGAGCTCGATCCCTATTAGATCCATTTTGGATTGACTCGATCGTCAAAATTGGTCCACGATTGGATCGAATCGTCGAACTCGACCCGTTGCTGTCCTATAAATAAGTTTAATCATTGCATATATTTACACTGAAAATCCATTCGATCTAAAATGTCAACTATCAATGATTTTTTGGTTCTCCACCACAACAAAATCTCCCTCTTTAGTCCGTGTAGGTTATATCGTACATAGATAGATTGATCAAGCAACCACATTTATTTGGGTCCAAAGATTTGCATATCCTACGGTGCCCCAACTAAAACATTTTTGGGACCGTCAACGAAGAGCACGTCAATAAATACTTAGTCGTCACCACGAAACAACTATCCGTGCACATTTCATGAATGATAATCTAACTAATATGTTAGTTATATTTCATGAATGCAAATATAAAAGAGCAATTAGTAATGATGGAGACGAATAATTGCAACCTAAATGTAGTTGATCATTTATGTTGGTCAATGCAAATCGTGGCTAATTGTATGGCTGCGTGTTCTTGCTTGCACATTCGTTTTAGCCTAATCATGTCATATTTATTCGGATGGAGCTTCAGTTCTAACTACTACAACTAAGTCGACGATGATCGCGACGACAATTAGGTTTAGCTACATGGACCAGTCCTTGCAAAAATAACTCTATGATAAGATCCAAAACAATGCATGTGATCGATCGAGCGAGCTCGTAAGATGTGGACTTTCAACCTTGGCTCATGACCCATAAAAATTAGCATCGAACTAAGTCCACTATCGATCGTGTTATGATTTGTTTGAATAATTCAAAAGAGATAGACATCAACCAAACGAGTTAATTGCGACGTGACATGAAAAATATGAAGAGAAGGATGGCTCGGTGAGTGGTATACGGATGTACCTACCTTTACTTAATGGTGCTTGTCACTACTAAGTTGCACACTCTCAACAACTTGATGTATCCTCTTTAAATTCTCTAAGCACCACCCAAAAAATGCCAATATGTTTGTGGTGTGAAACATGAAGCTAAGAATAATGTAGTATTTATTTTACGCTTGAAGAATAACATCTTGTGTTCTTTCTATTTGACACGAGTAGATGTAGTAGCAGTAAATTACGAAGTTAATGTGGAAAAGGAAAGAACGCAACACATCACGAAATTAGGTTGAATTGTCGAGAGATACAAAAGTAATGACATAAACGTAGACGTGGGTGGCGTGTTTTGTGTTCGGTAGTGGTCGAAGTCAGCACTGCCAAATGCATTTATTACGTAGCCTTTGTGTACTTCATGTGGATTAACTTCTGTTCCCAACTACCCAACTACTTCTTTGCCATGGTTATCATAAGGGAACAGTTTCGTTGAAAACAAAGATAGGATTAATTATAATTTTTTTTATAATTAATTATTTTTAATATCTTGATTTTTATATTTAAAAAAAATTAGAATCCTTATACTTATAAGAGTAAAATATTTAATCTCGTTTCTTCTCGTGTTATCGATTCTATTGACGAAAATATCATACGTACTCATTGGTAAATCAAAGTGAAGCAAAGTCAACGTATGCTCAATGGTAAATTATACGATATTTTTGTCAATAAATTCGACAACGTAAGGAGAAACGTAGTTAAATGTTTTACTTTCACAAGTATAAATATCCGAATGTAATTTTTGAAATATTAAGGATAGATAATATGTAATTAACCCTACAAATATAACATTAGAGAGAGAAAGAGAAAGCAATATATTCAAAAAATGTTTGATTTTTTTCTCGATTCTTATTATTTGATTAGTGTTTTTCTTTTGATATTAAGTTATTTAAGAATCGGTATTGAATATAAAAGGTTTGACTCTTTTGATTTTCCAAAAGGAATTCACTAATACCATTAAAAATTTGATATTTGTAATCATAAGAAAGGTGAATATTTCTTGTTGATTATCTCTCAATAAGTCAATTATTTTCTTAAGATGATGCAATTAATGGTATAAGAAGTGTATTAATTATAAGACCATCGGACACTTTTTCTTGTATTTATATATGCATATTGTCACTGTACAAAACAATCCATGCGGATCACAGGGGCAGATATAAATTACATATAATGGATATAATAAATGTATGATGGGGTCACCAAATCCAACCTTTCATCATCTCTTAACCCGCCATAAACCTCATAATACTATACAATCAAGCCAAATTCATCAAACATGTTCATATATCTCTCAAAAGTTAATTGGCATCCAAACTCAAGTATGAAAAAGATAAAAAAAATACTAATAGAGTTAGAAAAAAATGGATGATAAATCACATAATAATAGTGAAGCTAAGCGCATGATAAAGGTGGATAGGGTTCTATGCATTCACAATTATCACAGCTTATCACATCCAACACTACCAACAGTGACTTAGAGACCAACTCCCCGTTTACCACATAGCCATAGTTATCAGAGATGAGGGGTTTACTTGAGCAGAAGATGAACATTATTAGAGAGCTTTCTTTGATGTGAGATGCCTCACTCATCATCACATTTTTTCTTTCAGATAAATAAGTATAATTAGTTATTTGTTAATTCAGAAAGTTCACAATCATCGATGGATTTAATAATAGAAAAAAGGTTTTTTTTATGTCCAAAATTTATTTAAAAAAACCAAACACAAGTCATAAAATGTTTTCCTTTTGTGTTCTTGGATTTTTTGCAATAGGTTAGATTGTGGAATCAGTAGGAACAAGCAAAAGACCAACAATGTAAGTGACTGATCCAACTTTTGGTCAATGGTGAGGTTCTAATGCTTCAAGAGTCTGACACCAATGGCTTAACGATGATTGTATCTATCATTAAATATGAATACAACTACTAGTCACACCAATGGCTTAATGATGGTTGTATCTATACATTAAATATGAATACAACTGCTACTCACACTTTAGTTGAATATGTTTTCCAAATAATATTATGTGTGGCAAAATTTCTAACCAAGAGTTAATTAAATTCACTATATCCATAATAGCTCACATTCATTTATTTATATTTACAATAAATGTAAATATAAATATAAATATAAATATATTTATATTTACAATAAATGTCTATCCACTAGTGTTTTTATATACATTTTGTCATATATTACTAATATAATTAATATTTCAAGCCAATCAAAATCGAAAACAGCATGACCTAAAGAGAAAAACATTTCTCGAGATATTTCTTATTTCACGAATATTCCCTCGTCACTCGGTAGATAAGAGGTCACTCATGTAGGGACTTCGATTCAAAAATCTTAATTTCAATTCTTGCATAAGATCTCGATTCGACTTGAGTTTGGAGTATTTGTTTATGATGTTGATGACAAAAAGGACTAATATCTATACTAATCTTGGAGTGTTTGTTTCAACCCTTGCTTAAGATGTGGTATCAATGACTAATCTTTATACTAACAATTATCGAAAACCATACACGCTTAGACCATACATTTGGTGGGTACTCCATTACATTGTAGAGAGAGAGAGAGAGAGAGAGGGGTGAGTGAAGTTAATGACTAAACAAACGCTAAAAGTGGAAAGGTATGCATGATTAATAGTGGGGGTGATGGTCATTAATTGTGATTTGTCACGATCACAGCTTCCATGCTTGCGTTTCTTTTGACCTACGGATGGCACACACCGAAGGGAACACACCATTTAAAGCCTTTGTTATTTGTTATGTCAACACTTACCCATCCGTGCCATACAAAATTCTCTATTATCCATCCTCATAAGACTCTTAAGGTTGTGTTTATTTACCCTTCAAAAACCCTTCATTTAGACTATTATTTCGATCCAACGCATTAGCTCTGACTTCATATACTGAGAAATACAGCATTTTCAGCTCCAAAATACTATGTGATTGTTTCTCTGTTTGACTGTGCTAAGCCTAAGAGATGCATGGTAGGTTTCAGTAAATAATTAATTAACCATTATGACCACCGAAGCCCTTTGTTTGAATGAGGATAGATAGATAGATATTAAATAAAAGTACAGACATTAAAGATATGATATACTTCTTGCTATCACGGTCACTCCAATCTTGGGATACTACAGCATACTTTTCATACTTGCACGCGTCCAATATCGATCGCACAGAAACACAACAATACTACGACATACTTTTCACACTTGCACGGGTACTACGCCATTAGCTTGGCTTAATTCGTCTTCTCCACTCTTTTACTTCTCGGGGAGCTAAGCTTCGTCTCTCCGGCGGAGGGTGACCAGCAGGCCGTGCTTCATGTACAAGGTGAGCGCTATCTTGGGCTCCACGGGGTGGTCGGCCGCCACCTCCACCCGGTAGCGGTGCAGGATGGATGCGGCGACGAACTTCATCTGGTAGTAGGCGAAGTCCCGCCCCAGGCACAGCCGCAGCCCCCCGTTGAAGGCCGGGAACTTGTACGCTGACTCGCTCACCAAGCGCCCATTCCTGAGCCACCGCTCCGGCTTGTAGTCCCTGCAGTCCTTCCCCCATATACTCTCCAGTCTTCCCATGGCGTAGACCGCGTAGAGCACCTTTGTTCCTTTCTTCACCACCGTGCCATCAGGGAACACATCGTCTTCCACAACCTGTCCACACAACGCTGCATTACATTGACAGACAGACCGATAGATAGAGAGACAGATAGATAGAGAAGATGCAGCAGTTATTATGAGAGTGCAACAAACTATGGACTGTGTTGTTGACTTCTCCAAGTGTCATCATTCATGGTATATTTCTTTCATTGTCAATAAGTTCAGATTTAAAGGCCAACTCCTCATGTCTAATTTGTGGTTGGCCTCTATCAATCAGCATCTTAAATTATTTATGTCTTAAAAATTAAAATATGTTTACTAATTTTGATAAAAGAGAGAAAAAAAAAACTCTACTATATTTCTCATTTTTTTTCATCTCTTGTATGTCCTTCTTTTTTTTTTACTATAATATATTTTCTTTAAAAATAATTTTTATGATTTATATTTTTAATAAAAATAGATAATCATGTTTTATTTTTAAATTATCAAAAAAATAAATTAAAATTTTGATCTTGTCTGACCGGCTGATCTACTCGTCCAACCAGAGATCCAATGACTATGGCTGGCCTTTGACTTGACTTGACTTGACCAGCTTCAATTCTCGTGATAGACACGCGACTGTAATCTGTCACCAAAAACTTCTGAGAGTCAAAGATCGACACTAATTAGCTTTTAATCGCTTTCGTTCTTTTTCCTTATACGTTTCTTTTAAGCTAAAATGAGACGAGAAGTGAGACCGAGAGAAGCAGAAATATATGTGCGTGTGTTGACGATCGACATAGCCGTCAGAGTCGATTTTTGGCTTCTTTTCTGTCGTCGATAGGTGTACGGAATTCTCTATTCTTTCAATGTATATTGTCTGTAAAATAAGACTTCATATATAGATTATAATGTCTTGTAGTAGTAGTCGTACCTCCTTGTGGTCCACTGGCACTGAAGGGTACAGTCTGAGAGACTCCCTCAAGGCTGCATGCAGATACTCCATTTTCTTCACTTCCTCTGGCTTGAACACCAACTCACCTTCTCCTTCTCCTTCCCTCTCAGCTATTATCTCCCTTAGTTCTTTGAGGATTCTGTCCTCCACCTCCTGGTGCTGGCTCAGCAGCCAGAAGAACCAGGCCAAGGCCACCGACGAGGTGTCGCGGCCGGCGAGTATGAAGTTGACGCATATGTCTCTCAAGAACTTGTCGGAGTATGGGTTCCCGGTTTCGTCACTTAGCTTCGTGAACGACGTCAGAATGTCGGATCTGGTTGCCTTTTCTGGCTCGCCCGATGCGAGCTCCTTCTTCCTCCTCCGGATCACCTCGTAGGCGAACTCGTCTACGCGGTATATGGACTGCCGGAGGCATCGCTCGATCCCGAAGTCGAGGTAGCGGAAAGCTTTCCATATGGACGTCGGAGTCAGGAAGCGTATGGTGGCTGCCTCGGTGGCGTTCTCGAAGGCCTTGGCGAAAGGTATCTCCGGCAGCCCCGGGCGCAGGCAGCCCGGGTCGGTGCCGAAGGCGATCATGCACACATTGTCGAAGGTCAGTCGCAGGAGCACGTCCTGGAGATCGAAAGGCTTCCGGTGCTCGTGGGCCTCCGCCAGCACCGGGAGGAGCCTCGAGTGGACGAGCTCCAACAGGGATTGCACCGTCATGGACCGGAACGCCGAGGAGTGAAACTCGAGGCTGGCGGTCTTGCGCTGCCCGCGCCAGGTCTCGTCGTCGGCGTTGAAGATGCCGTCGCCCAGGAGATCCCTGAGAGTGTCGCGGAAGTACTCGCCCTTGGGATAGTTAGAGAACTTGGTCTTGAGAATGTGCTCCAAGTTTCGAGGGTCTGCGGTGATGACACAGTGAAGGTTGGTGAACCACGGGCCGCAGAAGATGAACGTGCCGCCCTGACGGTCGATCATGCCGGTGATCCACTCGTACATGTCTTTGCGAAGGCCAAGGAGGAGGGACGGCAACATGCCGACCACCGGCCACACCGCGAGGCCACGAACCCTCCCTTGCCTCAGCGAGTGGATGGTCACAAATATGGAGATGGCAAAGAGGAGCTCCAAGACCTGGATCTCCGTCAAGATCCGAGCCATCTCCACATTAGCGGTGGTGGAAGCATTGGAGCTGTAGGAGAAGAGGGCGGTTTGGTTGCCGGAGTTCATGATGTCGACCTCTAGTTGAAGTCCGTTCGTTCTGATGGCACCACTGCCGAGATCAACGGTACATATAGGGGACGGGGGAGCAGGTAGGGAGTTCCTTGGCTTGCCTTCCTTCGTCTCCAGCCGTTCGATTGGTATGACTAAGAATCACCACAGATTAAATGTTGGTAGGAACGTGAAAAGCTCACATATCGGCCTTCTTTAAGGCCAATCGCTGGACACTGTACTTGGAAAAGGGAATCCTGATCTGACCAGTAGAGCGAAGAATCCTGTGGGGCAGCAAAGGAAGCGATGAAGATGGGGTGGGTGAGGCTGTCGAGGCATGAAAATGGTGTCGAGAGGATTGATACTTTATGTGGCATTGGGAAGGTTGTCAAACACAAGTGAGGGTTCATGCATTGCCTGTCAAAGGTTGTAGTAGTTTCCTACAGCTCCAGTTCTTTAGCTTTAATTGAGAACCACCCATTTCCAAGTTTTCTTGGTAAGCCATGCAAAATTCTGGAATCATGTAGATGATCAAGTTCACAATTTATGCACCTCATAATAAAACCATCTTTTCTTAGGAAATCAAGTTTTCTTTTCCTTTAGAAAATAGATAATCATATCGATGCGAGATGAGTCATCAAAATCGAATATCACCCTCAGGCTGACGTAGATGATGGTTGACACTGTCAAGTGAGTCAATGTTGCCTACGTGCGAGCAACCCATTCCACATATCGAGAGAGATTAGATTGCTTACGCAACTCCAAGCTTCACATCTCAGCATTGATTCGAAGAAGATAGTCAAACCATAGCTACAGTATTGTTGGGAATGCTTCAGTTTAGAGAGGGTTTCTTGGTTGCGAGATGGTTGGGCAGTCACCATTGAAGTCTTGTTGTTAATTCTGGAGGTTGAGATGGTTTTGTGGAAGAGAGAAGGCTGTCGATGCATCCCAAACCGAGGCTATCAAATATCTTTAATAGAGAGACTGAGACCCGACTCCCTAACCAGGCAACAGCGGTTGAGGATGTTGATGTCTTTGGAGTATAGTTTTGGATGACATGTTTAGCCACACAACTTTCACACTGTCATCCATGAAAGTGTCACCTTAGCTGAATTTAGCAGAGATGCTAAATGCCTTACACTCAATTATCAAATGAATGTGAGTAGAAGAAGTGCAATGCCATCTTATTTAATATTACATATATATATATATATATATATTATGCATTATGTATCTCGAACCTTGATCGGTCAAATCGTAAAGACGTAACGTTACCATTATACTAAGACTCGTCCTCTAAAAATTTCTACTATATCAAAGAATTATTAAGAGGTTCATTAGTCGATCGGCCTTGTATGATATTTCTACTTCTAATAAAAAAGTTCGTTATAAAAAAAATCTCATGATTATAGTAGATATGCTCATGAGAATGAAATCAGAATCTTTCTACCTTTTTAGCTTCTAATTCTATACACTACTGAGACATTATGGTGGTTAGTTCACACACAATTAATACATCACACATTCTGCAAAGATATTTTTCTCATAAACATGATGATAAAAAATCATTCCACATGAAAACTACGCATTTACAGCAGTAGATAAGACATAAGCTGCTATTCAAGTAAAGAATGCCTATATTTCAGACTGAAATATGATGATGATGAGAACGATGATGATGACTTACCGTAAACATTTAGGCTGCTAAGATGTTCGATTTGGTCAATTTGGATACTCTTATGAGCAAAAAGAAAAGCACAAGTAATGTTATAAACTACACACACAACAGATGCTTGTTGATACTGTCTTTTTTTATTGTCCTGAACAAATAACTGTTTCTTCCTCTTTTTCTTAGTGATTTCTGCAGATCTGTGCTCAGGAGTTGACAATGAACAATGTTTCAACCTTTGGTATCACGATAAGATTACTTCTTTATTTATTTTTATATCGTTACTGAAATGATTGAGGCCAATCTTTTTTTTTTTAGCTTGCAGGGAAACAAACAATAGGAAAATAGTCAGGAAAAGGAAGTAATAATAAGAAGAAGTGTGCATCAAAAAACTGAAAGAGGATTGAATTGTAGGCAAGGAAAAATTAAGGAGGCACAGACAAGATTGGATGTTAGATCTTCAATGACGACTCTCCTTTTCTCAAACCCGGAAGCATTTGAGAGTGGGTTTGCAATATAATTGGGGTGCAGTTTACATGACACCAGCCCTATTGCAGGCAGGAGAACATTGATGGACCAACCAATCCTACTGACTGAGGAGGTGGATAGGCCACATTGAGATGATAAGCTCCATGAAGAGGAAGGATGCCTAAATGTTGATGCTTAGTTTCGATTAGGCCCATCTACTCTCCTTAATACTGTTGGTTATTTCATGGTTCATGAGGCCTAAACAGAGCCACCAGGCTGATGTAGCAACATACATCTTGGATGTAATGGAAGCTCAAGATCAAGATCGCATGCAATATCCAGTCAATGACATTTATACCTTGTGGTTTTGAGCTATTGATGTCTCTGTGTTTCTACTTGGGAATTGATGACTAAGAGAGCACTTTTAACTTTTTTATCAGTATCATTCCATCTAAAAGCCTAAGCATTAGATGAGTCATAACCCATCCACTTGTATTCTTAAAACCTCTTCTCAAGAGAGGTTAGGCTTAAGCCACTTCCACTTGGTGATGCATGATCTATTGATTTTAGATGATATTTGATTCTATCAACTTGCATTATTTTGATATTTTCGATTTTAGATGATATTTTAGTCATAATCTATCGACTTGTATTCTTTCGCTTTAGCTCCTCCTTAAATTCTTTATCTTCATCATTCTATCATCTAACTTCAACCCCTACTTCTTGTGAGTGTCTTTTTGAACCAATATCACCCGGTTTTCTATTTGAAAAGCAAAAAAAATTGATTTGTTTGGAAAACTTTAAGAATAATGTATCACGATTAATTAGTTAAGCCAAAAATTTAGGTATAGAAAATTATTTGTGTGGGTAATTTTCTATCTTTTCCAAGTCACTTCTTTCTTTATATAATCACACTATCCTCATATATCTATGCCTTTGTGCGAGCAAAATCAAATCTTCATTAAAATGCTATGCCAAGCTGGGTAGAATGAAAATCCGTAAAAAAATAAAAAGTTAGTAGATTGAAAAACAAATGACATGGAATTTTTTTTAGCTTTCTCTCTATTTTTATAGCTTAATATTAGTTTTTATTTGTTTCTAATACTTCAACTATCCACCATCAATCTCTCACTAATTATTACTAACATGCATATATCAAATTGATCCCTTCCTTATGGGTTAAGTATGCTTCTATTCAAATGAAAATGGAGTTAATCCACATTAAAATTTGTGACACTAAAATCTTACTGTTTCAAGCAAATAGTAGTAATCCCTCTCTAACATGTTCTACAAAGTATGTGATTTAGTGTGGATTCATCCCCTTTCTAATGCTTTCACTTTGGAAAGGAAGCAACTTGCATTAATATGGCGCTTTAGATTAAAATCTCATATCCTAGAAAAGCTGGTGTCTTCAAGAGTCTTCTTCTCCGAACAAGTTCTCATTATTTTTTGCTTAGTTAATAAGAAGAGACGCTAATGGATGTTCTTGAGGGCGAACACTAGTACGATGGATGAAACATGAGGAGATGAGCTTGATGCCATGCTTCTGTAAGATTAGAGTAAGAGCCAAGATGACTTGCAATTGGCTAAACTAAGAGCAAGGGATAACTCGAGACGAAAACCTGATACTGGCTGTGTGATTGGCATAGGAAAGGTTGTAAGCCACCACCTGCTCCTTGTAGTAGCAAACCCTCCCCAGTTCTTCTTCCTCCTTTAGCCCGAGTCTCATCTCCTTGATGCTGTACCTCGTCGATGCCACTGGCCCCCTCGTCGACTTGATTCATTTCACAGCCCACGCAAGTTGCTCAGCTGAATGCCTGCTTTCATGAGACATTCAATTTTGTGTTAGATGATCTGCATCTTCTTTTTAACAGGAGAACAGCCAGCTATCCATGTGTTAAAGAGACCAGAGATAATTAGGGTTTGGTGGTAGATGAAAGCAAGAAGACAGGGAGAGAAGTACTCGTTAGTAGAAAAAGAATGAAGTGACGCATACATAAAACCAATGTGACAAGGGAAGGAGAAGTTGGTGTTGGAGAACTCGACTGATTTCTGCATGATTGAAGATGATGTGCAGAGAAATGAATGCGTGACAAGATGCCATGAGATCCTGAGATCAGAAGGCCTCGTGTCTTCAATATGTTTTCTGGAAACGAAATGAAAGAGATGGAGAAAAGGATCTGAACCTGCAAGAGAGTAGCGAGTAAGAAAAATGATGTGCGGAAGTTCTCTCTGTGGAAATTATTCTCCACGTACTCCTCCTTTGCATGTATCTTCTCTCCTCTGATGCCATGACTCCTGAATCAAACCCCAGAAGATAAATCTACTTATGGTTTGCTCGGCCTTCCCCCTTCCCCTTCTTGCTTGAAGGACTTGATTCTTTACGCTCCTCAAGGCTTTAAGCACTGCATTCTCAGCCTGCAGTAGTGAAGGTAATCATTTTAAGCTTGCAGATTAATAGTACAAACCCAACTATGTGCGAGAAGTTAGCAGTAATTAATGGCTCTATCGTGTTCTTTTTGATGTTCTTGGAGATAAGAATGAATAGATCTAAACGATCAGTATATATACGCATCAGTGTGTGAAGATATCAGATTACCACGTAGCTAGCGACCAACACCGGCAGGGAACAACAAAAGCCGTGCCTGAGAGTGCAATCTAGTCCTATGATATGCCCTTGAACAGTGATGGGAGGCATTAGGGTAGATCAATGAAAGGTAGCAACAAAGAGCAAAGAGGAATACGGTCATATCCTCCTACCATCCTGCAATGAATAGATCTATGTAATCAATATATATAGGCATTAGTCTTGATCACAACCGGTGCATGACTCTATCACTTCGACAAGTGGTGACTGATACCGGCCCGGATCACGAAATGCCATGGCCGCGAGGGGAATCCGGACTTCTGATGCCCTTAACGTTGATGGGAGGCATCAGGGCACATCAATCGATTAGCAACAAAGAACAAAGAGGAACACAGTACTCATATCCTCCTCAGCATCTGTATCATGATACAACTGCAGGATGTCATGGTAATTCCCAAGTGAACATCGGATCATATCATCTCCAAGTGCATTTTGATCTCGTTAAACAAGGTGATGATTTTTCTTTCTTTTTTTGTTGTTGCAAATGATAAAATAAATAGTGAATACAAGATTTGATCCTAATACTTTTTGAAGATGAAGATCTTAATAGCCGCTTATTTTTTGAAAATAATAATAATAATTATGTATTATTATAATTTTTAGAATTTATATATATGCCTTCTTCCATCTAACGAAACAAAAGAAAAGTAGAAAAAAAAAGGCCAAAGGCTCCTTTGCTTTGATTTCAATTACATGACTAAAGTTAAAATTTAATGTTTTTGATGGGGAGCGCACAACTAATTAGAAGTTTTTTTATCGAAAGAAACTGAACCGATTTTAATCCCCTCAACTCATTTCCCCCATATTATTATTTTCCAACTTGGCATGCAGATCACGTGCCACATCAGCATTTTTTTTTAAATGGTACAGGTGGCGTGTCAGGAAGAGCAGTTGCCTTATTTCTAGGTGGCTTTGTCAGCACAAACAGGTGGCTCATTAATGTCGGGACTCCAACTACTTGCGATCCCCCGGAGACACTTCATGTCGTTCCGATAAAAGAAGTGACAGCTGCCTTGCCACAGAAAGGTACAGCAGCGTCGAAATCGTCCTATGGTGACTTAGGCCACGACTGCTTATCGCTCACCGTTGATATCCAGTTCACTTATTGCTCACCCGTGACAGCCATGTCAGGTTGTCGTAATTTTTACGTGACCAATCAGCTTAAGAGCCCCATTCGAGGGCTAATTAGTTGTTAACTATTGTCAGTATTTCGGTTTTTAAATTAAAAATTATATTGATATTTTTTAATTATAAAATAAAATATATAAATCTATTTACTTTAACGTCATCGATTTTATCAATAAAAATATAAAAATAAATAATAAAAAAATAACTTTAACATTTCAATTAGTGATAACGAACAATGTCGCTTTGCATCTATGTCGACGTCAACATAATTACATCGATGCAATTATTAAATGACGAAAAGACCACTCGACATATGTATCTACGACTCTTTCACGACTCGACAAATACGTTAGTGTTGACACAAATGATAATGACTATCACAACATCTACGACGAAGATGATGATTGCCTCACTACTAATCTATTAGATGGATTGCTTGACCTCAAGTTGAGGTGGCCAAAGCTCCTATTGCTCTTCTTGTTGGCATGTTAATTTCGACATGGATATATAAAAAAAGAGAGATGGAAGACTCGTTAAAGGAGAAGTTTTATTCACTGCGATTATCGTCAATCAGGAAGGGAAGTGAAGTCTTATCTTAGAGTAGGGAATAGAGAAGCAATACACGCAGTCTTATCTTGGAGCAGAGAATAGAGAAGCGAGACCAAAACCCACTCCTTTAACTAAAGAATGTGGAATTCACGGGAAATAAAAGGAAGAATCAGTGAGAAAAATGTGGAGGGCTTTCATCTCTTTGCACCATTCTCTGATGTACTTGCCATCAACACAGAGCACATACAAGATGAGGATGGACATCGATAGTCAACAGAGCTTAATCTACTGGTAGCTCAGAAGCTGTGTTTTCATAAACAATCTAAAAAAATTTACCAGAACTAAATCCACTGTGAAAGGCAGCAATTATTTCCCATTCCAGATTGGAGATAGGCATTACCAGCTTAATTTACAAATGACAAAACCAGGAGGCAGAATCAGGTTATGAGGATAATTTGAAGGGGAATCATTGAATAATGTTGCAACAAGAGATACTTTTTACCAGACAAGAACAACTTCAAGTAGAAAAGAGAAATATGATGAACAACAAGATGACTAGTTCATCAGCATATGAATCACACAGATCGATGACTTCGAGTTATTGGAAAATTAAAACAAATGGATACCTAAAGGATTGAGACATACCTGCATACTATCATACCGACAATTACTTTGGCATATGAATCACACAACGCAAGCATTTCCCTTCTCTCATCAGGCTGAATGCCTCATTAATATTTGCAAATGTTATATCATGTGTAACAAGTTCGTCCAATTGGATTTCCTGTAGTAAGTTATTTTAGCAACAAATTCAAACAATGAACACTTGCTACCAAAACTTTTAGAAGAAAAACAATGCCAAAGAAACTACCTTGGTAAAAGAAACACATTACCAACTAGTAAGATAACCTTGCTACCGAAACTTTTCCTTAAATGATATCAGAAACTTACGCCTTTCATATATTTGTCGACTAACAATGGAAGCTCAGACTTCGGTTTCCATCCTCCAAATAAAGAACCCTTCAAAGTTCTTCCCATGAGAAGAAAAGCATAATGAGTTGAAACCACAGGGTTGGTTTTTGGTACACCTAGAGTCACAGTCATTCCCCAACCCTGTAAGTTAAAACATGTCAAACATTTACAGCACAGAACATGTGTAACTTCAGACAATAAAGGATGAGAATTACATCACAGCATGATTGTAAGGCTGTTGATACTATACTAGTGTCGCCAACACATTCAAAAGAATAATCTGCCCCTCCATCAGTGATCTGTTTAATAACCTGAAAAAAAAAACATGGCTGTCAATGAATTCCCATTAACCTATCTCAGAATTATCTAAATCTGGGGTATTAAGGTACATATTGTTAGTATCAAATATTAGGTAGTCACAAGCAAACAGCACACCTATCTTACTAAGACAGTTAAATGCCATCAAGAATGTTATGCAGGAACTGTTTAGTAGTTGAAGTCAAGAGATTTAGTGGCTTCACTGCATGTTCCTGTGTGCAGTTCGACCTCTTTGAACTTTTGCATAAGTAGGAGCCTAATAAACTGACCATCTTTTTCTTATATATTAAATCCATAATCAAAAGAATAATAATTAATTTTTTAATAAACCATACAAAATCAGATCTCTTTACCAAATAATACACACAAATAAACAAAACGAACTTCTTTTGCCAGATACATGGAAAGAAGACTTTTCATACGATTACGTCATATCTTAACTTAAGGATGCTATTATGATTGAGGGT